TGAGCACTCACACAACCAGACGCACAAGCGTGTGAGCACTCACACAACCAGACGCACAAGCGTGTGAGCACCCACAAAACCAGACGCACAAGCGTGTGAGCACCCACACAACCAGACGCGCAAGCGTGTGAGCACCCACACAACCAGACGCACAAGCGTGTGAGCACCCACACAACCAGACGCACAAGCATGTGAGCACCCACACAACCAGACGCACAAGCTTGTGAGCACCCACACAACCAGACGCACAAGTGTGTGAACACCCACACAACCAGACGCACAAGTGTGTGAGCACCCACAAAACCAGACGCACAAGCGTGTGAGCACCCACACAACCGGATGCACAGGCGTGTGAGCACCCACACAACCGGATGCACAGGCGTGTGAGCACCCGCACAACCAGACGCGCAAGCGTGTGAGCACCCACACAACCGGATGCGCAGGCGTGTGAGCACCCACACAACCGGATGCACAGCTGTGTGCATGCACACCCACACAACCAGATGAACAGGCGTGTGAGCACTCACACAACCAGATGCACAAGTGTGTGAGCACCCACAAAACCAGATGCACAGGCGTGTGCATGCACACTCACACAACCAGACGCACAAGTGTGTGAGCACCCACACAAGCAGATGCACAGGCATGTGAGCACCCACAAAACCAGATACACAAGTGTGTGAGCACTCACACAACCAGATGCACAAGTGTGTGAGCATCCACACAACCAGACGCACAGGCGTGTGCATGCACACTCACACAACCAAACGCACAAGGGTGCACACACACGCACCGTGCACATATTTCCTGCCGCTCCTCGTCTTAGTTCTGTTTCCTATCTGGGGCACAGCACCTGCTGTGAGGAGCCCCAGTGGGGATGCCACCCAGCCGTCCTCTCTGGCATCCGCATCTCTGATAATGGCAATGGCATCTCATATCAGTGGCCCCACGTTCATGCTGGCGAGAAGAGTGAACCAGACAATAGAGAAATAGCGGGGGAGGGGCGGCCTGGCCTTCAAGCCAGTCGTTCTGTTTCTATCTGAGACTTTGCACAGAGTCACGTTTGAGAAGCATCTCTGCCATAAGGTAAGTCAGGAAGATCCTAAACAAAGAGCAAAACAAAGAGCTCCGAAGCCTCGGAGAACCGGAGATGAGTCTGTCAGTATCTGCTAAAGCTGAACTGTGTCCCAGGCAGACCCCGTGGGGGGAGTCACCGCTGCACCAGCACCCGGAGATAGCACAGCACGTCACCGAAAGCGCCAACAGCCCACATGCCATCGGAGGGGTGGCAAAGCCCACGGCAAAGTCACGTTATGTCGGTGGCGCATGGGTGAATCTCAACACAGTGAGACCAAGTGCAAAGAAGGACGCCTTTGCAACAAAGATTCAAAAACAATGGAGAGTCTACCTTTTAGAAACGCACGTGTCTGCCGCAGAGCTCTGCGTGGAGCCCTCGTGGGGCAGGGGAGGGACGGGCCACAGGTCAGTATCTGGTGTGGCTGGTGGAGCCACAGACGCCATCAGAACGAAAGAACAAAGTGGGCGAGCGGGCTACCTGCAGACTGCCGGCAAGAGGGCTATCCGCAGACTGCCGGCAAGGGCGTGGCTCACGCCGGCACTGGGACCACGGCAGTTCTGTGCAGCAAGAAAGTAAACAGGAGACGCTCCTGTCGGGGAGCCCCCCGAGTCAGCTGGGACCCTTCCAGCTGCTGGCTCTGAAACGCTGACACCAAGTGACCCCCAGGGCGGCTGCACCTGCCGTCAGCCCAGCCCCCGGCTGACCTCAGACCTGAGCCCTCCTGCCCCACGGTGGGGCGGCGGTGGGGGGTGGATCCTGCAGGGCGCCTGGGCGCGGCCTGGCAGGGGGGCCCCGCCTCTGCTCCCAGGAGAGACGGGGAGCACCTGCAGTTCCAGGGGCTCCGAGGGGAGCTTCCCCCACCCGGAACAGAGCAGCCAAGGGTGCTAATTGTTCACACTGGGGTGAACTGTTTATAAACACCTCGCCTTTTGTTCCTCGTTCCTTTTCTTAAACAGTGTGCACAAACTCAGTGAAAGAAAACTTCATTGGGTCACGATGGAGAATATTAGGGATATCTTTTAAAATGAAGGCTCCTATTCCTTTTGTGCACAATGCTCATTAACCGTGGATGCATTCTGAGCGAGGCTGGCTCTTAAAAATGACAAATGGCCTCATCTCCGGCCTGCCTGGTGGCAGCACGGGAGCATCTGCGACCGGGCTCAGACGGGGCTGCTCATTGGCATTCCGGCGCTGGCTCCGTGCGGGGCCGTAAATCTGCGTCGGCTGACAGCTAATCCCACGCAGCTCCAGCTCCAGACCCACAGCGGGGACAGGCGCGTCCCTGGAGATCCAGCTCCGGCTTGGGGTCACGTGGCGCCGGGCGCGCTGGCTCGGCCGCTCAGGGGACACCAGCAGTTCCCCACCCAGTGTCCCCTCGCCCCAGCACATGGTGACTGGTGGGGACACTCCAGCCAGGACGGTGCTGACCACGGAGCCAGGCAGGAGGAATTTCAATCAAAAAGAGGATGAGGCCGGGCGCGGTGGCTCACACCTAGAATCCTAAGCACTCTGGGAGGCTGAGGTGGGAGGATCACTCGAGGTCAGGAGTTCGAGATCAGCCTGAGCAAGAGCGAGACCCCGTCTCTACTATAAATAGAAAGAAATTAGCCAAACAACTGAAAATAGAAAAAATTAGCCGGGCATGGTGGCATGTGCCTGTAGTCCTAGCTACTCGGGAGGCTGAGGCAATAGGATTGCTTGAGCCCAGGAGTTTGAGGTTCCTGTGAGCTAGGCTGATGCCACGGCACTGTAGCCTGGGTAACACAGTGAGACTCTGCCTCAAAAAAAAAAAAAGGACGAGCTCTTTACGATGGGGCCGGGAGGGGCAAGGACATGGGGGGGGGGGCATTCACCGCCTTGAGCTTCCTCCGTTCTGCACCCCGCTCGGAGACATTAACTCGAAGTCAGCCGTGGTGTTTAATGTCAGACGTGAAACCATGAAATTGTAAACGGAGACATGGGAGAAAGCAACTATCACACTGAGCTGGGCAACGTGTTCTCGGTCCCAACACCAAAAATACAGCCCGTCTCTAAAAGCCAGCAAAGGGGACTTCATCAGAATTGAGAACTTCTGCTCCTCCAAAGACACTCCCCTAAGAGAACAAAAAGACAAAAGAGGCTGGAACCAGCACCGAACGGTGAACCTGGTAGCGGCAGGCACTGGGATGTGTAAAGAACTCTCAAGATCCGATACTAAGAAAGCAAACAACCCGGTTCAAAAATGGGCAAAAGATCTGTCAGACGGTTTCGCCAAAGGAGACTCATGGATGGAAAGTCAGCACACGGAAAGATGCTCGGCACCGTTAGTCATTAGGAATGCAACTGTAAACCAAAATAAGGTACCGTCTCCACCTACCGGAACCGACCAAACCAATAAAAGTGACCACGCTGGGTATCGGGGAGGGTGGGGGTGGAGCAGCGGGAACTGTCCTGCATTCATTCCCTGTGGGAACGCAAAACGGCCCGACCACTTCGGATGATAATTCCTTATAAAATTAAACACGTACCATGGGATCCAACCATCCCAATCTTGAGTATTTGCCCAAGACAGACGAAAACTTGCATTTATACAAAAACCGAAACGAGGCCAGGTGCGGTGGCTCACGCCTGTAATCCCAGCATTCTGGGAGGCTGAGGCAGGAGGATTATTTGAGCTCAGGAGTTCGAGACCAGCCTGAGCAAGAGCAAGAGCAAGACCCCGACTCTACTAAAAAGATAGAAAGAAACTAGCTGGACAACTTAAAATATATAGAAAAAATCAGCCGGGGCCGGGCGCTGTGGCTCACGCCTGTAATCCTAGCTCTTGGGAGGCCGAGGCGGGCGGATTGCTCAAGGTCAGGAGTTCAAAACCAGCCTGAGCAAGAGCGAGACCCCGTCTCTACTATAAATAGAAAGAAATTAATTGGCCAACTGATATATATATAAAAAATTAGCCGGGCATGGTGGCACATGCCTGTAGTCCCAGCTACCCGGGAGGCTGAGGCAGTAGGATTGCTTGAGCCCAGGAGTTTGAGGTTGCTGTGAGCTAGGCTGACGCCACGGCACTCACTCTAGCCTGGGCAACAAAGCGAGACTCTGTCTCAAAAAAAAAAAAAAATCAGCTGGGCATGGTGGCGCATGCCTGTAGTCCCAGCTACTAGGGAGGCCGAGGCAGGAGGATCGCTTGAGCCCAGGAGTCTGAGGTTGCTGTGAGCTAGGCTGACGCCACGGCGCTCTAGCCTGGGCAACAACAAAAAAAAACACAAAAAGCCCCCGGAACAACATGGATTCCTTTGTCTAGAGACCGGTGTGCCGCGGTGCTACCTCACACCGCAGACCGCCCAGACGCGAAGAGGGACGTCCCTCTCCCCGCAGAGGGACAGGTCCCACAGCCACACGCCGCGCCAGGCCCCTGACATAACTCAGAGAAGGCAAAGCTGAAACGACAGAGAGCCGACCAGGCTTGCGGGTCAGGGCAGGGTTGGGGGGGCGGGGGGGCCGCCAGGGTCAGCAGGGGAGTCTGGGGGCGGGACTGTCTGTCCTGCGACCCTGGTGGCCACACGCGCCGTGCATGTGTCGAGACCCAGAGACCTGCCAGGGTCACACCGCAGACGGTAAATTCTACTACGTGTATTTTTTTTTTAAATCGGCACGCGAGGGAAACCCGCGTTGGAACGAAGCCGTAGAAAGGAAGCTCGCTGTGTCACAGGTGATAACGTCACCGCCCTGGAGAGGGTGGGAAGGAAAGAACGACCCTATTTCGGAAAAGGGCCGGGGTCCCGTAAGGCTGGCGGCAAAAAGAGCCGCGGGCAGACGCACGTGCTGGTTTCGCAGACGGCGCGGGTCAGGGACTCCGTGCGACGGCGTGCGGGCTCAGGGTCGGCCGGGCACCACACAGGCAGGGAGGGAAAGGCCGTCTCCCAGGGTGACGTCGTCGCCTTACCTGTGGGACACCTGGGCTGCGGGCTCCTTTCCTCCGTGGTGGAACCCGGCGCACCTGTCCTCGCCACCCGGGGGCTCGGCTCCAGGGCTCTGGCCAGGCCGGCTTCCGCCTCGCAGCTGGTCTGTGGCTCGGCCCGAGGGGCTTCTGGGCTGGCAGCACCTTGCGCCCAGGGCCCCGCGGTTCTGGGCCACGCTGCGTCCGTCCGGCGTCCGTGTTCCCCGGCCCCGTGTTCATTCTCCCTCGCCCCACCCCAGCCCCAGGGCCCGCCCTGCGCAGTCCTCGTGCTCCTGGCTGGCCACGCAGGCCGGGACCGCGCCCTCCTGTCTCGGGAGGCTACGGAGGCCTGAGGGTCGATGGCTCCGTGCGGCCGGCGGTGGCCACGGCTCCCTGTCCCCAGGGAGGCGAGGGCGGGACAGGGTGGGTGAGGGGCTGCTCATCAGCAGGCGCTGGGGAGCCCAAGAGGCACAGCATCGCGTTTTGCACCCGAGGTGCCACCGGGAACCCTCCCAGCCCCCCAGAGTGAAGGTCGCCCCCAGGTCACAGCCTCCGCCTTGTCACCAGGGACCAGCCTGTGCTGCTTCTGAACATCTTCCCGCAGACCCGGCGACGGTTGCTGTGGAAACCAGGAGAGGGAGGGGCGCTCCTGCACAGAAGTGCGGTTCCCGGCAGCCTCTCTCCGGGGGGTTCGGTGGGGGGACCCCAGGGTCCAGCAGCCGAGGAGGCCTCTCCCAGAGAAGCCCCAGGAAGTCAGCAAACGAGTCCTAACTTCGGCTCGTCCCAGGTGGCCGGCGGGCTCAGGCGCCCCGCCCCCGACGCAGAGCCGTCTCCCTCTTCCTCCCCGGGGCGGGCGCAGAGACCAGGTCCCCCGGCGTCCTCAGCATGGCGACGACGCGTCCCGGGCCGCTGCCAGTGCCCGCTACTCTCTGGTCCCGCCGGAGGAAAGGGGCCGGCCGCTCGAGGGGCTGGGAGGGAAGAGACACAGAACACAGACGTCAGGGAGGCCAAGCGAGGAGGCTTGGGGGGTCGAGGGGTGCGTGGCAGGGATGACCCCTTTCCCAGAGTGGGGTCCTCTTGGGGCCCGCTGAGGGGTGGGGGCTTGCAGGCCGAGACAAACGGTGGCCTCATCCTCCCGTCCTCTCCTCCCCTTTGGAGAGGGAGCAACCATCAAATGTGGGCACGTGGCCTCCACTGCGGGTGACAGCTGTGACCCTGTAGCCTGGTGCTGCTCCTGCGCCCTGCGAGCCAGCCGGTATAGCCGGGGACCAGGGCACGGGGGACACAGCTTGCACTTGGCACGACCCAGAAAAGGACAAAGAAAAATGATGGAACAGGCCAGGCGCAGTGGGTCACGCCTGTAATCCCCGCACTCTGGGAGGCCGAGGCAGGTGCACAGTTTGAGCTCAGGAGATTAAGACCAGCCTGAGCAAGAGCGAGACCCCATCGCTACTGAAAAATAGAAAGAAATTAGCTGGACAACTAAAAACATATATATAGAAAAAAATTAGCCAGGCATGGTGGTGCATGCCTATAGTCCCAGCTACTCGGGAGGCTGAGGCAGGAGGATTGCTTGAGCCCAGGAGTTTGAGGTTGCTGTGAGCTAGGCTGACGCCACAGCACTCACTCTAGCCTGGACAACAGAGGGAGACTCTGTCTCAAAACGAAAAAAAAAAAAACCAAAAATGGCGGGTCAACTTCTATCTGCCGGTGCTATCCCCTGCCAAGACGCCAGGAAAGCAGAGAAACCACCTTGGGTTGATTTGCACTTGGTCCATCCTACACTGGGGGTGCGGGCTCCGCCCCCCTTTCTCTCAGAAGGGCGAGTGCAGCTGGCAGCCCCGGGCAAGAGGGAGGCTGAGTCCTGCCCCAGGAGGGGTTTCTGGTTTTCGGGGTGCCGGCAGCTCTCTGAGGGCCCCCACGGGAGCTGAGGGTCGCTGCCTTCCCGCTCCGGACAGCCCGCGAGGGCCGCATCTCCAGGAAGCAGAGCCTTGCCCGGCCCGGCCACAATACTCACCGGGTCAGGGTGCCAGGAGGGGCTACGACCAGAGAATGAAAGCTAAGGAGAAAAATAAGAACAAAAATAAAAACTAAAAAGGGCAAGGGAGGGTGGAGAAACAGAAGAAAAGAAAGAGAAAGAAGAGTTTGTTGTGCTTCCGGCCAGAAACCGATCGCCGACAGAGCAAGACGCCGTGGCCGGGGAGGAGAGGACACGGCTCAGGAATCGGGGGACGCTGTGACAATTCCCTGGTCTGAGGTGACAGTGCTGGCAGCCCGGGGGAGGCACTCGGGGACCCTGCACAGCTAGAGCCCGGCCGCGGGTGCCGGTTGGGGGCCACACGCCAGTGTGACCCCTCCCCCACGGCAAAGGGAGCCTCTTGGGGACTCAGTTTCCTCCCCCTGTCTCAGGAGAGCGTGGCGCGAGCACCAAGCAGCTGCTAATGGCGATGACAGTTTAGCTGAAGGACATTCCAAGTGCCCGGGACACACGGGCACCCCCGTGACAAGGCTCTGGCCTCACGAGAACAAAGTCCAGCCAACACCTGAGTCCATGTAACACCCGAAGCCCCATTTGGGGCTGGGGACCAGGTCGGTTCAGACACTGGAAGATGTGGCAATGGCGCCATGGCTTGGAAATGGAGGGTTACTTTAGCTGGGGCTAAAAAAGCAAACACCTAATTTAAAATGTTTCTAGTATTTAACCAAACGAATGCCCTCGGGCTAAGACACAAAATGAAATGGACGTTTGATTTGGGGGAGAGACTTGAGCCCCAAGAGCTGCATGTCCCCTCCTGACGTCACCAGGAGCCTAGCTGTGCCCGGCGATGTGTCCCCATGTGGTCTGGTCCTCCACCAGGGCGGGAAAGGTCGTGCCCTGCACACCCCTCAGGGCTCATTCCTCACGGTGGATTTGTGACTTGGCCAGGATGATCATTCGGCCACAAAGTGTGCAGTGCAGGGAGCGGTTCTGGTGGTTGCCGAGCAGGGGCAGGGCGGGGCAGGGCGGGTGGGGGGGGACGGGCCTGCTGTCAGGAGATGGCTGTCCTGGGGGCCCCCACCTCCCCTGGTGAGCACAGGCCGTCTGTGGGCTCGTCTTCAGGCCTGGCCGGAGCAGGTGCTGCCCACAGGGCACCCTGCTGGCACCTGCCTCTGTTCCCCCAGGAGGGATGAGGCAGGGGTCCCACTGGCCACTTTGCTCAGCGCTCGGCAGGAGCCGGGCAGTTGGCGAGATCCGCAGGTGGGAGCGGTCTGCAGCCTGACCCTAGAAACCACGAACTGGCTCCAGGCGGCAGAGAAAGAGCTGCCCTAAAGCCAGGAAGCCCCACGGGGCGAGGGTCTCTCTGGCAGGCTCCTCCCCCTGGGTCTGGGGTGCGCCGCGCCCGTGACACACGTCAACAGAGCTGGGGGACCCGGACAAGGATGCCCCTGGCCCGGGCGCGTGGCCCCAGCCCCACTGCTCCACAGCAGGAGTTTCTGAACCAGGAAGGAATGGCTCGGAGGGCCAGGAGAGGGGAGATTCTTCCTGCACCAATGGCGCCCCTCGAGGGGAAAAGGCACGGTCCGGCTTTCAGGAATTTGATTTTTAGACCACGGCACATGGTGGTCTTGGAGGGATCACGTGGTTCGGCACAGCCAGGGCGGAGCAGAGAGAGGACCCGAGGTTGTTAGTCTGGCACCCGGCTCTGGTGGGGACTGATGTGCAGGGGGAGGGGCTCCTCTGAGCCTGCACAGCGGGACGGTGCTCGGGGCTCCTAGACCCAGGCCCGTCGCCTGGCCCCGAGCTCGCAGCCACCGCCCGAAACCTCCTTCTGCCCAGCTCTGCCCCAGGCTTGGACGCCGCTCCTGCTGCTCTCCGCTCACCCCCCGAGGCCCTGTGAGCCACCTGTGTCCTCCCCTCCCGCCTGGCCAGCCCCAGCGACACGACAGGCCCCGAGTGGCGGTACCTTCTCCTCCAGTTCCTTTATTTGTCTCTTCTGAGCTTCTATTCTTTCTTCTAACTCTTTAATTCTCTGCAATACCAAAAGGGAGAACATCTTAATCGTCAGGGTATTTGGGAAACCAAGTGGGAAAAATCCTTTTGAGACTTTCTCTCGTTCATTTGGTGGACAGACAGTCGCAGAGCCGCAGGCGTTCTGGGCACCGGCCCCCGTGGCCAACGGTGGGGACACGGGCGTTTCTGTTTGCTCTTCACACCAACAAGAGCACGGAAGGCCTTCCCCACGTCCGAGCTTCCCTCTACATGGGAACCGTAACCTTCCGTCTCCGCAACTTCAGAAAAATCACAATGCCGGACACCCGAGGAAACGGTAAGGAAGTAATTCACCCAAACGTCACTGCAGCAGAGGGACAAGCGGCCAGAGGGCCACAGACAGAGCCGGTCGCGGAGGAAACCTCCCTTGCGAGGTGACACCCGTGCCTGGCATCCCACAAGCAGCTGAGCTCTGACCACAGCCCACCCACGGGACCGGGGGCGGCAGGTGACCCTCCTCACCCTGACTGCCCCAGGGGAGGCCAACGAGCAAAGAGGCTGGCAGCGTGTGCCCGACTTTAGCTCACCCACGGCCACGGTGACCCAGGCCACGGTGCAATCACGTCTCTGACTCTGCAGTGGAACCTTTTGGTCTGGGGTGTGGCTAACAGGGACATGTCTGCGAATGCCACGTGCAGGCCATGCTGGCTCATGGAGGAGCCGACAGGTCCAGTCTGCAGGGCTCCTCCCCTCCCACAGGACTGAACTGGGACCAAGGGCCTGAGGTCCCAGAGGGCCCTGAGGCCAAGAGGAGACCAGAAGCTGCCCCCAGCCCACCAGCTGCTGTCCCCAGACAACGCCCTCACCACCAGGAAATAGCTCCTGGGAAAGATGTGGCCACCAGGGGTCCAAAAGAGGGGAGCTGCCACCTAGAGGCCCCTCCAAGAGGCCACCCTGGCAGGGCAGGCAGTGTGGCCTGAGAGCCCAGCTGTGCACAGGCCATCGGAGGGTGTGGTTGTGAGGGTGGGGTCACGTGGGGCACAGCCATCGGAGGGTGTGGTCATTGGAGGTGTGGCCATGGCAGGGCATTGTCATTGTCATTGGACAGCCACTAGGTGTGGCCATTAGGGGAGTGGCCATGGGAGGGTGTGGCCATTAGAGGTGTGGCCATTGGGGTGTTGCCATTGGGAGTGTTGGCTAGTGGAGGCATGGCCATTGTGAGGTGTTGCTGTTGGAAGTGTAGACATTGGAGGTGTGGCCATTGTAAGTGTGGACATTGGAGGACCTTGTCATTGGAAGGTGTGGCCCCTGGAGGTGTGGCCCCTGGAGGTGTGGCCATTGGAGGACATTGTCATGGGAGTCTTGGCCATTGGAGGGTGTCACAGTTGGAATTGTAGACATTGGAAGTGTGGCCATTGGAGGTGTGGCCATTGGAGACGTGGTCATTGGAGGTGTGGCCATTGGAGGTGTGGCCATTGGAGACATGGTCATTGGAGGTGTGGCCATGGGAGGTGTGGCCATTGGAAACATGGTCATTGGAGGTGTGGCCATTGGAGACATGGTCATTGGAGGTGTGGCCATTGGAGACATGGTCATTGGAGACATGGTCATTGGAGGTGTGGCCCCTGGAGGTGTGGCCATTAGAGGACATTGTCATTGGAGGTGTGGCCATGGGAGGTGTGGCCCCTGGAGGTGTGGCCATTGGAGGGCATTGTCATGGGAGTCTTGGCCATTGGAGGCCTGGCCATTGGAGGGTGTCACAGTTGGAACTGTAGACATTGGAGGTGTGGCCATTGGAGGACATTGTCATTGGAGGTTTGGCCATGGGAGGTGTGTCCATGGGAGGTGTGGCTCCTGGAGGAGTGGCCATTGGAGGGCATTGTCATGGGAGTCTTGGCCATTAGAGCATGTCACAGTTGGAATTGTAGACATTGGAGGTGTGACCATGGGAGGTGTGGCCCTTTGATGCATTGTCATGGAAGGTGTGGCCATGGGAGGTGTGGTCATGGGAGGTGTGGTCATGGGAGATGTGGTCATGGGAGGTGTGGTCATGGGAAGTGTGGCCATGGGAGGTGTTGCCATGGGAGGTATTGCCATGGGAGGTGTGGCCATGGGAGGTGTGGCCATGGGAGGTGTGGCCATGGGAGGTGTGGCCATGGGAGGTGTGGTCATGGGAGGTGTGGCCATGGGAGGTGTGGCCATGGGAGGTGTTGCCATGGGAGGTATTGCCATGGGAGGTGTGGCCATGGGAGGTGTGGCCATGGGAGGTGTGGTCATGGGAGGTGTGGCCATGGGAGGTGTGGCCATGGGAGGTGTGGCCATGGGAGGTGTGGTCATGGGAGGTGTGGCCCCTGGAGGTGTGGTCATGGGAGGTGTGGCCCCTGGAGGTGTGGCCATTTGATGCATTGTCATGGGAGGTGTGGCCATGGGAGGTGTGGCCCCTGGAGATGTGGCCATGGGAGGTGTGGCCATGGGACAGCTCTGCCCTGGGAGGCTCCGCCTGGCTCCTCACATCCCACCTGCCCGGCACTCACCTGCTGTGCCGCCTGCAGCAGCTCCATGCGCTCGCGCAGGATCTGGGCGTCCCGCTCCCGCAGCTCGCTCATGACCTGGCGCTTCCACTGCTCCACGGCCACCTTGAGCTTCTCGCGCTCCTCCTCCGACAGCAGCTCGGCCACCTTGGCCCCGGCCTCCTGCTGCAGGGCGTCGTACAGCATGGCTTCCAGCTCCAGGATGTGCTGGGGCGGGAGGGGGACAGCTCAGTCCTCCCCTCCCCGCCGGCACCGACCCGAGCCCCGCGGGCTGCACAGCCCTGGCCGTTCAGGAAGAGCAGCAGGCGGCCAGGCGCCCTCCGTCAGGGAGGGGGCAGGCAGGGTGTGCAACAGGGAGGGCCACAGACCCGCATACGTGAGATGACCCCAGAAGCAGAGAGCTGACCAGGCCAGTGAGGGCCAGGACGCAGACGCCCCGGTCAGGGCTGAAGCTGCACAGCGGGGCTCAGGGAAGGACTGAGCTATGAGCAGTGGGACGTGGACTGGAGGCCACGAGCCAGCCTGGCCACGTGGCGCTCGCAGCAAGACCAGAAGGCGCTAGGCAGGGGTCCCCCCACGCTGCTTCCCAAACGTCCGACTCATGGACCGAGGTAAAACCATCCCTTTGCCATGACTCACGAGCCAAATGCATCTTTTTCTAAATCCCCAGGGTTTACCACTTTGACCTGGAGTAAACTTTCTCCTCCAGAAATGTTACTGATACAATCTTTGAGAAAACTACAGAGGCCTTTTCTTACCATCAAAAACATAACATCTTCAGAAATGAATATTTCCTTTTCTTCAGGCAAAATAATTATGAAAATTCCTTTTGATTCAGTAGAAATTTTAGGAAATGAAAAAAAAAACAAACTTTTGTAACCTCAGTTATAATTTATTGTTCTTGACTGCCAGAAAATACACTGTCCCCAGCTGTCACAGCCAGCTCACGCTCCCACGTCAACCGCCACCGCGTAGAGCAGCAGAGCTCGGGGCCCTCGCGACCAGCTTTCAGACTCGTGAGCTGGCGGAGCCCTGGCTGGGGCAGCCTCGCTGGTCCCATACCTGCCGGGTGTCGCCACGCCCCTCCCTGGGCCTCAAGGACGCCGCCCCCTCATCCCCAGACGCCAGGTCTCACTGGCCACTCTCTGGACAGCGCCCCTGTCCCTCACAGCCCCTGCAGGTCCCTGTCGGGGCAGGACGTCCCCAGGCGCCCAAGGCCTGTGCTCATGGAGGCGCCCAGGGCTACGTGGCCCCGCATGTGGGAAAGGCAGAAGGAACAGGGGAGCCAGGGTACTGTACAGAGGGCAGCGCCACTTTCTGAGGCCAACGAGGAGAGCACAGGTGGGACAGACAAACAGGGGCCTTCCTGCAGGAACTGCAGATGGAGCTGCCCTGTCACACAGGAAGTGGCCCCCCCAGCATCACACAGGAAGTGGCCCCCCCAGCATCACACAGGAAGAGCCCCCCAACATCAAACAGGAAGAGGCCCCCCCAGCATCACACAGGAAGTGGCCCCCCTAACATCATACAGGAAGCGCCCCCCCAGCATCACACAGGAAGCACCCCCCAGCATCAAACAGGAAGAGCCCCCTAACATCAAACAGGAAGAGGCCCACCAGCATCACACAGGAAGTGCCCCAGCATCAAACTGGAAGAGCCCCCCAACATCAAACAAGAAGAGCCCCCCCAGCATCACACAGGAAGAGACCCCCAACATCAAACAGGAAGAGGCCCCCCCAGTATCAACAGGAAGTGCCCCCCAGCATCAAACAGGAAGAGCCCCCCCCAGCATCACACAGGAAGAGCCCCCCAACATCAAACAGGAAGTGGCCCCCCAACATCACACAGGAAGAGGCCCCCCCAGCATCACACAGGAAGAGCCCCCCAGCATCACACAGGAAGAGCCCCCCCAGCATCACACAGGAAGAGGCCCCCCCAGCATCACACAGGAAGAGGCCCCCCAGCATCACACAGGAAGAGGCCCCCCCCAGCATCACGCAGGAAGTGGCCCCTCCAGCATCACGCAGGAAGTGGCCCCCCCCGTTTGGTCGTCACACATCCAGGCAGGTCCCACAGCAGCCACACGGCTCCCTGTGGCCCGTAGCTGATCCACTGACTGGTCGGCGGCTGCCCAGGCCTAGTGATGGTCATGGTAGGGGTGGGAGATGCAGACAGTTCAGGGAAGCTGAACCGCACTGATGGGGCCTTCTGAGATATGGGCTGACACCCAGGTGTCCTGTGGACGTGCACTGACCCTGCCATCACTCCAAGTGACCTTAAGCAGGTCATCAACTTCTTTGTGCTTGGCAGCCCAGACCAGTGCCTGCCACGTTCGAAGGGCTCTTGTGGGTATGCTCTCATCATAACACTGTCGTCACAATCACTATCAACAATCACCATCATCGCCCTCCCATCACTATCAACAATCGCCATCGCAGGGCATGGTGGCTCACGCCTGAAACCCTAGCACTCTTAGAGGCCAAGGTGGGTGGATCGTTTGAGCTCAGGAGTTCAAGACCAGCCTGAGCAAGAGCAAGAGCGAGACCCCGTCTCTACTAAAAATACAAAGAAATTAGCTGGACAACTAAAAACATATGGAAAACTTAGCCAGGCATGGTGGTGCATGCCTGTAGTCCCAGCTACTCAGGAGGCTGAGGCAATAGGATTACTCAAACCCAGAAGTTTGAGTGTGAGCTAGGCTGACGCCACAGCACTCTAGCCAGGGCAGCAGAGTGAGACTGTCTCAAAAAGAAAAAAAATTACCATTATCACCATCATCATCACCACCACCATATTCATCAGCATCACCATGACCACCATCACCATCATCACTACTATCACCATCATCATCACCACTATCACTGTCACCATCATAATCACCATCATCACCATCATCACCATCATCATCACAGCATCAGCATCATCACCATCATCACCACCATCAGCATCATCACCATCATCACCACCATCATGACCATTATCATCACCATTATCACTACCATCACCATCATCATCACCACTATCACTATCACCATCATAATCACCATCATCACCATCACCATCATCACCACCATCATCATCACAGCATCAGCATCATCACCAGCAACACCACCACCATCACCATCATCACCACCATCACCATCATCACCATTATCATCACCACCACTACCACCATCATCATCACCATCATCACTGTTATCATCACCACCATCATCACCATCATCACTGTTATCATCACCATCATCATCACCACCATCATCACTGTTATCATCACCAGCATCACCACCATCATCATCATCATCACCATCATCACTACCATCACCATCATCACCATTATCATCACCACCACTACCACCATCATCATCACCATCATCACCACCATCATCACCATCATCATCTCCATCATCACCACCATCATCACCACCATCATCACCACCATCATCACCATCATCACCACCATCATCTTGTTATCATCACCATCATCACTACCATCATCATCACAGCATCAGCATCATCACCAGCATCACTACCACCATCATCATCATCACCATCATCACTACCATCACCACCACTACCACCATCATCATCACCATCATCACCATCACCATCGCCATCATCACCATCATCATCACCATCATCACCGTTATCATCACCATCATCACCACCATCATCACCATCATCACCATCATCATCACCATTATCACCACCATCATCACCACCATCATCACCACCATCGTCACTGTTATCATCACCATCATCACCACCATCATCATCATCACCATCATCACCATCACCATCGCCATGATGATGGTGGAGCCCTGGATGGTAGTCACACGCGTCACTGTCCTGGCCTGTGTGGCGTGGGCAAGGGAGGCGTGGATGGACCTGAGCACCCACCCTCTAAGGTCAGGAAGCTGCCTATCCTCTCCTCCTGCCCCTGCCCCACCCCCACTGGAAACCCCAGCCCGGGGCCCAGCACCCTCGTGTCTCTTACCTTGTGCGCCTGGTCCAAGACCTGCTTCCTGTAGTCCAGCTCCTCGTCCAGGTAGCCCTTCTGCTTACTGAACAGCTCCTGAAACACAGGAGGACGGTGTCTGGCCGTGGCCGTGGCCACGCTGCCAGGCCACACGAGAGACGCCCACCTACCTTCTCGCTCTCCAGGTCCACCATCTTCCGCTGCAGCGCCGACTCTGTCTCCTCAATCCGCTGCAGCCACTGGGCACGAGAACAGGCAGCACAGTGAGCCCTTGGGTCACCCACAAGGGCACCAGCACCATCCCCTGCCCCCGGTTCTATGGGGACAGCTGGAGAGGACCCAGGGAGGCCAGGGTCCTCCTCCTTCCCCTCCTCCTTGGGCAGGGAGAGCTTGGCCCTTGCTGGGACGCTGGGCTCGGCTGGCGGTGTGCACACTGTGTCCCCAGGGGCTGGCCAGCCTGGGCCCTGCCCTAGCCACTGCCTGGTGTCCAGGAAGCCTGCCCACCATGCCTGCCCACCCCGCCTGCCCAGGGAGAGGGGGGATGTGGCCCGGGCTGCAGCAGGAGCAGATCTACGGGCAGAGCTCTGCCGGGACAGGCGGGGAGGGGGCCTGGTTCCCCGAGCCCATGTGTGCCAGGAGCACCCCCCTCCTTGCTGTGGGAGGCCTGGCCCACCAGGCAGGTCTGGGCTGGGGGCTGGGAAGCCCACAGAAGAGGGCTCTGGCAGGTGGAACAGAGAACGCCCAGGCCCACACCACCTTCCAGCCTTTGGGAGGAAACTGAGGCAGAGCCGGCGTCAGGGCAAAGAGTAGCTGAGTCTATCCTTTGCAAAGGATGCTGTGCAAGTCTATCCTTTGCAAGTGGGTGCTGTGTGACCTGTGTGTGCCAGGTGTCCCCAGCAGACCGGGCTTAGTGGACCCCCTACCCAGCCCTGCAGACCGCCTCCCAGGGCGACACCTTCTCTAGGCTGAGCAGGGCAGGAGACCCCAGGAGCCCAGCCCTCTCTCAAGCGTCCACACAGCCGCTGTTACCTTTTCGGCCAAGGTCAGGACTGTCCTGGCTTGTATGACAATTACTTGCTCCTCATTGGTCAGGTTCTGCACCCAGAAGCAGAACACAGGGACAGTCAGAAGCCGTGCCTGGGCTGAGGTCAGGGGGCTGAAGGACAGGTGCACAGGGAAGCTGACGGGAGGGGCTGGGGCCTCAGCTAGTGGACTCTTTGACGGAGGCACCCTGGGTCTCTGACACCCCTGACTCTTGGCCTTGTTCCCCTGGGCGCTATCCATTCCCCTCTCTCTGCTGGAAACCACCAGGTATGGCACCAGCTGAGGCAGGGTGACACATGAGCAGCTTGGCACAGGCATGTGGCAACTGCATCCCAGCAACAGACACTGGCCCACTCTCTGCCTCTGTCCCCGCTTTGTTTAAAGCCAGTTGTCTGCATGCACAGCCATGAATTACTAAAACACCACTTGTGAACGGTGGAGGGAAAATCAACTATAGGTAGCTGTGAAATGGGTCTAATCTCTGGTGGTTTTTGCCTTTTCTCTGCACGTTTCATTCATGCTTCCTCCCGAGTCCGACTGGGTGGTCCTTCTGGGCAGGGCCAGCCTGGCTTTGGGGCCAGAGGAGTGCCCTGACAGGGCCAGGGCACTTCCCATGCTCAGCCCCGACTCCACCTGCCTCAGGGCCAGGACTGTGTGGCCCCAACTTGTGGGACAGCCAGGGGCAGGCATGAGGAGCAGGGTCACCGCAGGTGAAGGGCCCTCAGTCCGCCCTAAGAACTTCCCTGACTCAGGACCAGGTCACTCAGGAAGCCCTGCCCTGTGGTCTCTGCCTAGAGTGAGTCCCCAAGGACAGGTGTCTCTTGCAGGCCCCCCAGCCCCAACGTAGGCACCAGGGTCCCCCATGGGCAGGTGCTGATTGGCTGCTGCAGGCTCTGCCCTCCTCCTGCTCCCAGGGTGGGCTGAGCGGGCCACAGCCTTCGCCCAGGCACTGGAGTCAGGGGAGGGTAAGGAGGTGGCTCCAGGGTGACTGGGGGACCTGGCCCTCTGACTCCCCCTGGGAGGTGGCTTTGTCCTGATGCCCCAGCCTTGGCCAAGTGCTGTCTGCTCTGCCCGCATGGCCCCGCTCTTCCTTCCCCAGGTGCCCCGGCCCCTCTGCAGCCCAGGTGCAGTGGCAGAGAGTGCCACTGCCTGCCAGGGAGGGCGGGCGCCTGCTCTGCACCCCCAGCCTCTCCACTCTTCTCTCCCGGTCCTGGCTCCTGAGGAAACCGAGGCAGGTAGGAGAAACTCTGGGGCTTAGGTGTCCACATGGCCAGACTGGAGGAGGATCTGGGGACAGCAGCCGTGGCACTAGCATGCCCTGGCTGTGAAGGTGATGGTCATCTGCTTCCTCACGAGCTGGGCCACTTTGTGCTTCAGGAGGGGACCCGTGAGCTCAGGCTCCATGGAGCTCAGCACTGGGTCATGATGTGCACGTGACCTCTGCTCAACAACAACTGCACGGGCAGACCTGAAGGGACACCCCTCGGCCCATGAGCAGGAACTGCCAAGCGTGTCCACAGGGTCTCCTGAGTGTAAAACCTCCAGTCCCCAACCTTCTCTGTCCCTGTCCTCAGTGAAGAATGACCTCAGAGGCAGCATGAGGGCTCCAGGGAAGTCACACTCAGTGGCGCCCTGAGGGGGACAGCTACAGGGCTGGGAGGAGCCCCAAAACAGGACTGGCAGAGCTGCAAGCCCCAGCCTCTACCACTACATTGGCTTTGTGACCTTAGGCAGGCACCTCTGGGGCCTTAGTTTCTCCAGCTGTGAATCAGAGGGTGGCCCAGTAAGGTCCCCTAGAACCCATGATGGGGCTGATGCCCAGGCTGGATTCCAGTGCGTGTCATGCCGCTAGACAGCCTTGCTGTGGGGTAACTCTTCTGCTACCTACAGCTTTGAGGGAACTCCCAGGTCTCTCCACAGCCAAGAGAGCCTCCCTGATAAAAGCATCTCCATGCTCTGCTCTAGGTGATGGGCAGGCAAGGAGGGGAGGGAATCCTGTCAACACAGAGCCCTGAACAGAGTGGGTAGAAGAGGTCAGTGACTGTGGGATGATGGATGGATGGATGATGGATGATTGGAGAGAAGATGGATGAAGGATAGATGAAGGATAAAGGATGGAGAATGGATGGATGGAGGACAGAATATGGAGGATGGAGAATGGATGGATGGAGGGAGGATGGATGGAGGATAGAGAATGGATGGATGGAGAATGGATGGAGGAGGATGGATGGATGGAGGATGTATAGAGTACAGAGCATGGATGGAAGATGAATGGAGAATGGATGGATGGAGGATGGAGAATGGATGGATGAAGGGTGGATGGAGGATGGGTAGAGGATGGACAATGGATGGGTGGAGTATGAATGGAGAATGGGTGTATGGAGGGTGGATGGAGGATGGATGGAGGATGAAGAATGGATGAATGGAGGGTGGATGGAGGGTTCATGGAGGATGCATGGAGAATGGAGAATGGATGGAGGATGGATGGATGGAGGGAGGATGGGTAATGAATGGAGGATGGATGGAGGATGGAGGGAGGAAAGATGGATGGATAGAGAGTGGATGGATGAATGGAGGATGGATGGATGGAGGATGGATGGATGGAGGATGGATGGATGGAGGATGGATGGATGGAGGATGGATGGATGGAGGGAGGATGGGTAATGAATGGAGGATGGAGGGAGGAAAGATGGATGGATAGAGAGTGGATGGATGAATGGAGCATGGATGGATGGAGGATGGATGGATGGAGGATGGATGGATGGAGGATGGATGGATGGAGGATGGATAGATGGAGGATGGATGGAGGATGGATGGATGGAGGATGGATGGATGGAGGATGGGATTAAGAAGTGAAGTCATTTTGCTTTCTTAGCAATTAATATTTTTTTGAGGACTTTGCCGCAGAAATTAGAACTCTGCCACAAATGAGATTTGGGTTTTATCTATGGACTCTGCTTTCCCAAAACCAAGGAAGTGGGAACCCCTAGCGTCTTGATGTGTCTAAGAGCAAGAGCCCCCATCCCCACTGAGGGCAGAGAAGAGCAGAGAGATAGAAATTCCAGGGACTAGGACCACGTGACTGCAGGTGTCACTGGCTGGAGGAGTTGGGGTGTCCACAGCAGAGGCCCCTACGGGAGCAGGAACGATAGGAGAAAGGAGTGGGCATCTCCCACGTCCCTGGGGTCCCGCTGCAGGCAGGCCTGGGCCCTGGGGTGGGCCTTGGGCAGGGGCCCAGGGCAGGGCGAGCAGGGAGCGGGCGTGGGCAGGGGGCATGCACAAGTCAGGAGAGCAACATACACTTACGGCGTTATCCCCCAGGATGTCCAGCTTCTTCATCAGCTCCGGGACCACGATGTCCTGGGGGCAAGGAGAGGGACAGGTGGGAGGTGAGTGGCCGCGGGGGCAGGGTGGCGGGGCAGGGCAGGGCGGGGCTCACCGTCATGCCTTCGGCCTCACAGTACACCTGGAGGGGGCTCTTCCCGTCCACGAAGGGCGTGTGGTGGAAGTTGATGGCGGGTGACTTCCTCTCCCTCTCCTAGGAGGAAGCAGAAGGCTGGGCTCGGTGGGCCGTTCCCCTCCCGTCCCTCCCTCCCAGGGGCTGTGCCAGGGCCCGAGGACACGGGTCCAGCCCCCCGAACGCGGAGCCAACACAGTAGTTCCTGCAAAGCTCCAGGCCAGCCATGCAGGGGCAGGACCCTCATCAGACGTGGCCCCGAGGCTGCCCAGCGGACTTGCTGGCCCCAGCCAGGCTGTGGGCTCCGGCTCCGTCCCACCTGGCCACGTGGCCCTGGCGGTTCCCAACCCAAGGCCACTTGCTCAGTCGCCAGCGACTCCCAGGGACTGCTGGGAGGCCCAAGGGGAGGCTGCAGGTCAAGTGTCAACCACAGCCCCGGGCAGCACAAGCCCCCTGGGGACATGGGCTGGTGGCTGTGCCACGTTCCTCACAGCAGGACCACGTGCAGGAGCCCAAGAGGCCCAGGAGACGGCCACCCCCATGCAGTGGCCAGGAGGACTTCGGGGCAGATCCGTCTGGACTCTGAGTCGGGTCCAGCTGTTGAACCAAGACAGAGGCCCTGGTGCTGTGTGGGGGTGGCCGGGTGGTGGCCCCTGCAGGGCCACTTCCTCCTGGCCTGGCAGTGGGAGGTGAGCGTGGTGACATGGCCACCACACCCGGCCCGGCCTCCCCCGCAGAGACCTTGCCCACCCTTCCACCCCAGCAGGTCCTGGCAGAGGAACGGCAGGGCCCAGCCAGAGGGTCCCCGGTCACTGCGTGACGCCCACTGCCCCCACTCCAGGGCTTCCGTGACCAAGAACCGAGCGCCTGCTGGGCCGACAGCTGCGGTCTGGGCATTGTCCCTGCTGCACATTGTCCCCAGATGCAGCTGCGGCCACAGGGACACGCTAAGGACACTGCCTGGCGTCTCGGGCCCCACAGGTCTGGACATGACTCTAGTGTTGTCGTCTGTCCCGCTTCTGTTGGCCCTTCCTGGCCCGGAGCTCGTGGCCTGCCTCCCCTGGGGGCACCGCCTTGCGCGGCTGGCCCAGTCCTTCCTACGAGGGCCGTGCGGGTCCAACCTGGCTTCGTGGGTGTGCGTCCCAAGACTCGTGGGGGTGGGAGGCCCGAGGACAGGAGCCCCGTCACAGCCCACGGCCACACCGGCCTTGAGCAGGGGCCACCTGGCCGCCACCGCTCCCGGCACCCAGGTACCTCGAGCTCCAGGATCCTGAACTCCAGCAGCTCGTTCTGGTCCCTTCCGTCCTGCACCTCGTGTCTCAGCCGAGCCTCCTCTGCCTCCATCTGTCTGATCTGCAGGAGAGACGGCAGTCACGGCCAGGAGTCCGGGCCTCCCACCGGAGGCCGCAGGAGGTTGACTCCGGCCATCTGGACGGCTGCTGGCCCCGGTGCCGGCCCTGTCACATGTGCCCTGACCCTGCACTCCAGCCCGAGTGCATCTGGGTCCATCCCGGTGAGGCTGGGTGACCCCCCCTTGGTTAAGCAGAGTGGGGGCTGGGTGGGGAGGGCTGGCGCAGGGAGCCCGGGGAGCTGGCGCTGAGCCCGCCAGGCTGGGCAGGGCCGGGCGGGGGCTGGTGCTGAGGACCACGGTCTCCGAGCTGCTCCCTGGTGCTCCTTGGAGCCCAGGCTGTGCCCCGTGGAAGGGCCGGGGACCGGGGGCCGGGGGCCGTGGCTGCCTGGCTGCCTCCCAGAATTCACCTGGTTAGTTAAGGGACTGTTTAAACCGAACCAACAAGTGAGCCTGACATGGGAGTCCCCCCCCCCAAACGGAGAGGTGACACAGCTGCAGCTGCCTGAGGACAGGTGTCCACCAGGAGCACACGGCTGTGTGCACCCCACCCCCTAGCTGAACTGGGGGGACAGAGGGGCCTGCTCTGACACTCGGGATGGGAGAGGCAAACTCGGGGCGCTGGCATCCTCTGGGGGAGCCGATGTGGTGGGGAGCGGGGCCCTTCTGTGGAGCCCCTGTGGGACCAGGAACGGGACCCCACACCCGCCCTGGCCGGAGACAAGCACAGGCTCAGAGTGTGCACGTGAGCGACTGTGTGTGCTCGTGTTTAGTGTGCACGCATTTAAGCGTGTGCGTGTTTAGCATGCATGAGGGCATTTAAACACGCGTGCGTTTAGGTGTGTGTGCCTTTCAGTGCACATGAGCATTTGCATGTGCACGCCAGCGCTTAAGCGTGGTGTGTGTGTGTGCACACCAGCCCCATGGAAACACTCCCTGGTTTAGGAGACGGGCAGTGTCCACAGGACACACGTGGGCTCACTGCGTCAGGACGTCCCGTCTCCAGGAGCGGGGCGGGGGGCGGGCTCCTGGGGGGCTCCCATGGAGCGGGCAGCGCAGAAGGGGCCCTGTGCCTGTGCGCCCCCTTCACCCCAAACCCCCGAGCGCAGAGCGGGCCCTGCCGGACTCGCGGACGGGGCGCAGTGCTACCTTCTCCACGAGTTCCTGGTTTCTCCGATACAGCGCTTGCTTCTCTTCGATCCACTTCATGTCCTGGAAAACAGGGTGAAGCAGCAACTAATGCAGCAGCAGGAAACCATGACACCAGGGCCCCACGCCAGCTTCTGCAGCAACCGCCTAGCAGCAGTTCACGCCGCACAGTTCACGCGCAAACCTAGGACTTCTCCGTCTTCCCGACGGTCCTTGGGGGCCGCCCTGCCTCGGAAGGGCCCTCAAGGACCCTGCAGGCCGCCACACGCCGCGCCAGGCCCGGTGCCCAGAGGCACAGGCGGACCCCCCGGTGCAGGGCTCGGCGGCAGGGCTGGGGTCAGGACAGGTGGGGGGCACTTCCCCCAGGCGGGTTTCCGTCCACGTCACACTCAGCCCCGTGGGTGGCGCCGGGCTTTGTGCTCCACTGCACAGCATGTGTGGACCCTGCACTGGCCGCGCCCCAGGTCTGTCTCGGGAGGCGCCCCGAGTCCTCGGCACATTCTCGCACCCACGGGCCTCACGTCTGCCCCCCACGGGCAGCGTCTGTGAGGGTCAGGTGTCAGGAGGAGGGCCCGTTTCTTCAGAAACTGGGCTTGCTCGTCAATGTCTTCTCCCCAAGGCCACCTGCGGAATTCTGAGCAGGTTTAAAGGTGTCGCTTCTGCAAATGAAGACGCCGGTGTCCCCATCCTCCTCCTGCGTCCCCATCCTCCTCCTCCTCCTCCTGCATCCCCATCCTCCTCCTCCTGTGTCCCCATCCTCCTCCTCCTCCTGTGTCCCCATCCTCCTCCTCCTGTGTCCCCATCCTCCTCCCTCCTCCTGCGTCCCCATCCTCCTCCTCCTCCTCCTGCATCCCCATCCTCCTCCTCCTGCGTCCCCCTCCTCCTCCTCCTGCGTCACCGTCCTCCTCCTCCTCCTGTGTCCCCCTCCTCCTCTTCCTCCTCCTGCATCCCCCTCCTCCTCCTCCTGCGTCCCCGTCCTCCTCCTCCTGCGTCCCCCTCCTCCTCCTCCTGCGTCCCCGTCCTCCTCCTCCTCCTGCGTCCCCGTCCTCCTTCTCCTCCTGTGTCCCTGTCCTCCTCCTTCTCCTCCTGCGTCCCCGTCCTCCTCTTCCTCCCGCGTCCCCGTCCTCTTCCTCCTCCTGCGTCCCCGTCCTCCTCCTCCTCCTCCTCCTGCGTCCCCGTCCTCCTCCTCCTCCTCCTGCGTCCCCGTCCTCCTCCTCCTGCGTCCCCGTCCTCCTCCTCCTCCTCCTGCGTCCCCGTCCTCCTCCTCCTCCTGCGTCCCTGTCCTCCTCCTCCTCCTGTGTCCCCATCCTCCTCCCTCCTCCTGCATCCCCGTCCTCCTCCTCCTCCTCCTTCGTCCCAGCCTCCGGGCCCCTCTCCCCCGACAGCATTCGCGAGACGACTCGGGGATCTCGCCCTGGACATCTGGGACGGGCCTGTGGGTCCTGGGGGCTGCGCCCGGCGCGGGTGGCACCACGCCCTCAGCCCGCGAGTGCAGTGGCCCGGGGGGTGGTCACGGTTGCCACGGCACCGAATTCTGGGACGGAGGCTACGTGGCACGTCTGCGGCTCATGCCCTCGTCTCGTCTGTCCACCCAGCAGTTGGCGCCAAGGACGGCCACGGGCGGGGCCACGCGTGTCCCCACCACGAGGACACCCTCCCGCGCCCCGCGTCCGGCTCACCTGCCCCTGCTCCGCCAGCGTCTTCTCCAGGTCCTCGATGCGCGTCTGCGCCCGCTGCACTTCTGCGTGGAGCTGCTCACGCGTCTGTAGGCCGGGAGGGAAGACACGTCAAAGTCTCCCCAGCGGCGGCGCGGGCGGGCGGCGCATCTCGCAGGGACGGCGCATCGTGACAGCCCCTGCCTGTCTCGCTGACAGGCGACCACTGGGGGGCGCTTTCCGATAAGCGGGAGCTCGAGGCAAGTGCCCTCACTCAAACCACAAGGGGAATAAATTCTGCAGGTGGATTCTGAGAGCGTGAGGTGAGATCCTCCGCACGGGGCGGAACAGCCAGCGAGGACCGAGCCCTGGCGCAGGTCCGCCGGCCCTGGCTGGGGCTGTGCTGCCGTCTCCTCACAGACGGGCTCTCGGGAAGGCACCGGCCCCCACTGGCCCTGGGCTCGCCCCCACCCTGCACCCCGTGCCCCTTGGCCTGCTGCCCAGAGCCCGCCCTTGTCCTTGGAGGCGGAGCTGCGCCCCGCACAAGTCGGCCCCCAGGTGTGTGACGTCCCTCCCAGCGGGGTCTGAGCGGCTGTCCCCGACTTAATTTGCTCTGTTGGGGTCCGGACTGCAGGGCTGCTCCTGCTCTCTTGGGGGACAGAGAGGGAGCAGGGGCGGGGAGGAGCTTTTGGGGGCCGGCACAGGGTCCGAGGGTCCGAGGGCCTTTGGTGGCGCCCACTGAGCTCCGGGGCCCTGTTGGAACCCGTCTGCCGACCGTGGCTCCCGCCCCACGGCGCCGGCTCCCTGCCCCTCGCCTCTGCCATGCTGAGGGGTCAGGGAGGCTGAGCAGAGGGGCTTCCAGCCAGGCCAAGCCCTGCGCTGCCAGGTACGGAGACGGCGCCCCGGAGGCCGTGGCTGCCCGGGCCCTGGACCCCGTAAGGGGCCATGTCCACGCCCTCAGTGGCCTCTCCTGCCCCCCCCCCCCACGGCCCTTTCCTTATCCCTGGGCCTCCAAGTCGCGCAGCGAGGGCGGCACTGCCAATCGCAACACCGCCAGGCTGCGGGGGCCTGGGCGGTCCCCTCTCCTCGTTTGTCCTCTCTGCGTGCTCCGATTTTTAAAGTGATCACATGGTATTTCTCTGCATCAAATTTTTCTATGATTCTAAATGTCAATTAAAAATTTTTTTACAATGCAGTTTGGACATTTTGACTCTCTAAGCAAAATCTTGGAAGTTCTTTGTTTCTACGTGGCCTTCGATCAAAAGTTTCTCTGTCACGTGATGGTGGAAAGGGAAACCGAGGCTTCCTCCTGCTCCCAAACGAGGTGGGCGGGGAGCAGGAAGATGAGGCCCTGCACAGGCTCTGACCAGTGTCACTCCCGCCGCGCCCAGGCCCCCGGGTCTGATGAAAACCTGAACAGAGATTTGGACTTTTTCTTTCTCTGGGAGTTGTGCAAAAATTCAGTCAAAAAATTCAAACAGGGGGCCGGGCGCGATGGCTCACACCTATAATCCTAGCACTCTGGGAGGCTGAGGCGGGCAGATCGCTCAAGGTCAGGAGTTCGAAACCAGCCTGAGCAAGAGTGAGACCCCGTCTCTACTAAAAATAGAAAGAAATGAGCTGGACAACTAAAAATATATTGAAAAAATTAGCCGGGCATGGTGGCACATGCCTGTAATCCTAGCACTCTGGAAGGCCGAGGCGGGTGGATCGCTCGAGGTCAGGAGTTTGAAACCAGCCTGAGCAAGAGCAAGACCTGTCTCTACTAAAAATAGAAACTAATTGGCCAGCTAAAAAAATATATATATAAAAAAATTAGCCAGGCATGGTGGTACATGTCAGTCGTCCCAGCTACTCAGGAGGCTAAGGTAGGAGGATTGCTTGAGCCCAGGAGTCTGAAGTTGCTGTGAGCTAGGCTGACACCACGGCACTCACTCTAGCCTGGGCAACAGGGTAAGACTCTGTCTCAAAAAAAAAAAAGAAAACTTCAAACAGGGAATGTTTAAAGTCCGCTGTTCGGCGGATGAATCTTGTTTCCAAGCCAGAGGAGGGGAAGGCACCTCCAGGGACAGGTGCCCGCAGGGAAGGGCTGGAGGCCACAGCAGGGCTCGGCTTTCTCCTGGCTGTGACGACAGGTGCCAGAAAGGCAAGAGGGGACCCGCCAAGACCCCAGGGCAGTCAAGGGGACAGAGGTGAGGTCCAGGGGCTCCCCGGGGTGGCCAGATGGATGTGTCTGGGGGGTCTGCCAACACTGCCCTTTACCCCAAGAGGCCCAGTCTCCACCCAGCCTGAGTCCCAGGACAATGGCCCTGCAGGGTGGATGCAAGGAGCAGGCTCGACTGGACCCTGGACCCCACAGCCACCCCCCCGGAAGAGCCTCACCCCTGGGGGACACCCCATTTCCCTGAGGTGCACCAGCCACGGCGCCCAAGGCAGGAGGGGGGGCCAGCCCGGACCGCTCGCCCTGGCCCTCCCCACACTCGCCCTTTTCCTGCACTGCCCCGGCAGCCAGCAGGGGGGGCCCGCCAGCCATGCCAGCTGCACATTTGGGCGTTCTGAGGCCAACAACACCAGGGCTGCCTGGGGAAGCAGGGACAGGAGGGGACACCCCTGCTCAGGCTCAGGGTAAAGGCAGGCGCAGGTTTGAGCTCAACATGTGCTGGGCGAATAACAATCTCAGGAACTTTCCAGAACAGCTCAAACACCCCGTCCCTCGTCCCCCTGCACTCCAGGCCCCGGACTGCCCGAGAGCCCCACCGGCAGGTGGAGGAAGGTGACTGCCCCAGGTGCTGCAGGCCCCATGGCCCTGGGGCTCCCCGGGCCCCCCACGCTCACCTGCCCGCACCCCCACCCTCCCCCGGCCCAGCGGGTCCCGGCCCCGGGTCTGCGTCCTCAGCGAGCGTCACGGGTGCCAAGCAAGGCAGGACACTAGGGCCCGCCCGCAGAGGGGCGGAGCAGGTGGCCCTGCGGGGGAGGGCCGGGCGCAGCCGAACGGGTGGAGGGGAAGTCAGTTAGACCTTAACTTCTCGCTCTGCGTCCAGCGTCCCTCCGACCTGCTCCTGCAGCAATGCGTAGGCGCGCTGCAGCGCCTGGTACTCCATGGTCAGCTGCCGGAACCGCAGCTCCGTCTCCTCCTTGGCCATGCCCTGCAGGGGCACGGGACACGCACGCAGAGACGGCGTCAGCACGGGGCCTGTATGGCGGGGCACCTGTTCTCCCAGTGGGACGCTCTGTCGCCGGCCCGTGGGGACAGTCACTGCCCGGCACCATCATCAGGAGAGAGGCTTCCCCGGGGTGCAGGTCGGGCCGGGCGGGGGCTCCGCTTGCCTGCCAGGCCGCCCCACCCACACCCTCCACCTCGGGTCTGGCCCACACGCAGCCCTGCGGGAGTGCGTCCGGGAGGAGAGCTGGGCTGTGCGCAAGGGTCAAGTGCCCGGGCGGTACAGCCCCTCCCAGCATGCCCCCCCCCCAGGCCGGCACCTGCACCTGGGGCCGGGGTGGGGAGGGCACGCAGTGCCCAGGTGTGACTGAGCCTGGAAACCCCCACCCAGCCAGTCCCCTGCCCAGCCCTATGCCCGAGGCCGTGGTACGCCTGGGATCTCCAGGGATCCCGCAGCCACCGGGCAGCCCTCGGGGATTGGCCGGGGGGGACCCAACCCCTGGCCTTGGCTCTGGGCCACGTCACGGGCCTGCACTCCTGGTCCCACAGCCACGGGGCTGGGCCACGCCGTGGCTTCCGGCTCCGGGGCTGGGACGGCTGCCTGGACGGGAGGGTGGCCTGGGCTCTGGAGGAAGGGGCTGTGTCTCTGTCAGAAAGAAAGCTCCCCCTTGCTGTCTCCGTCGCCCAGACTGCTCTGGGCCTCGGGCCTGACCTCCTGCGGGAGCCCCAGGTGCCTCTGTGGAGGGCGTGGCTCGGGGGCAGGAGGGATCGTGGCTGGCCGTGGGCAGGAGCCAGGGCAGCCGCACACCTAGCGACTCGGGGGACAGGACACACACGGCCGGACCCCACCCTGCCTCAGTGTCCCCGAGGGGGCCAGCCGCAAGCGTGGCGCCTGCGCGGGAAGAGCCGCCTCACCTCGTCCAAGTCGTCGTCGGGCGTGCACGGGGTCTGGTCCGTCCGGTCGGTCTGGTAGGAGACGGAGGAGCCGTCGGACTCCAGGGACGCCTCCTCGTCGTAGCCGAAGAAGGTCTCCACGATGACCGGCTTGGGGCGGAGACGCGGCGTTAGTGCAGCCCCAGCCCCCGTGCCACCGGCCCCGCCCCGCCTCCACCTCCTGTCCTCCCGCCTGGGGCCCAGCCGCCCAGCGACGCCTGCCGCGCGGCCCCACCCCTGCCCGGCCCCGTCTGTCCCGGGGCGGCCGGGGAGCAGGCGGGGGCCAAACGCGTCCTCGGGGACGAGGACTCTGCAGCTCCCGGAGGGGCAGCGGGGCAGACCGTCGCCATGGTCCCCAGCGGGACGCACGGGCTGGACAGTGCGGGCCCCGAGGCAGGTCAGGACTCCAGTGAAGCCTTCCTGTTGCAATTTTGAAAGTGTCGGTCTTGACAGACGGGAGCAAGAGCAAAGACAAAGGCGAGTCCTCCACGGAGACTGCGAGGCCCTGCCTCTGGGGCCCCCGGCCCCCCTCGCCCCCCGAAAAGCTTCACGCACCTCTGGTTTCCTCACTTAGGTTTAGAAAGGTCACAACACCCCAAACCCTGCCACCTTCTCACAGTCACGCCCCAGGCCCCTTCCTTTCTCGGACCCCCGAGGGCCTCCCTGCTGGTTCCTCTGTCGGAACCTTCCGGCAAAACTCCTCCCTGGGGCCCCCAGACCACCCTGGGGCCACAAACCAGTCTCTGGCCCCTCTCCTGCATGTGGCTGCCAGCTGAGGCCAGGCGGGGTTCGGGGTGACTGGCCACCAGCACCTGGGGCAGCTTTCCCTGCTCTCCAGCTTCTCCCGACCCCTCACAGAACCTTCCAAACTCAGGCGAACCCTCAAGCACAAACTTGAGGTTCCTAGCACAAACAGAGTGCTAGGATTATAGGTGTGAGCCAGCATGCCCGGCCGAGGTTCTTTTATTAAACGCCTGTCCCCCGTGACCCCTCAGTCTCTGATTGTCGTGCCTGGACCAGGGCAGCAGCCCAGCCTCCTGGTCACCACGTCCCCCCACCCTGCCTCTGGAGGCCCACTGCTCCCTTCTGCCTCCTGGCCCTTGCCCGGCTCCCCATGACAGCCTCAGTTTCTCCTCCCTGCACGCCCTTGCGGGCCTGCAATGTTCACAGAAGGGCCCTGCGAGTGTCCCTCCCTGGCTTCCGGCCCTTCTGCCTGACGTACTTCTCCTTGGCCCCGCAGTGCCTGGGCAAACGAGAGCAGGACACACATGCTGGGCCCCACCCGCCTGCCTCCACCCCTCCAGGGTAGCCGCTAAATGCCTGCAATGACTCTCAGGGCCCGAGCGCCCAGCGACTGGGACTGAGTGACGTCGCTTGGCCGTTGAGCAGCATAGCTGACTGAAAACCAAACCACACACACATTTTGCGGGAAGCAGGAGGAAAGCCCTTTGGGACTTTCTGCAAAAGCTCCCTCAACAAAAATCACAAATTCCTCAAAAAGCATTGTACAGGCCGGGCGCAGCAGCTCACGCCTGTAATCCCAGCACTCTGGGAGGCCAACACGGGCAGTTTGCTCAAGGTCAGGAGTTTGAAACCAGCCTGAGCAAGAGGGAGAGCCCTGTCTCTACTAAAAATAGAAAGAAATTAATTGGCCAACTAAAAATATCTAGAAAAAAGTAGCTGGGCGTGGTGGTGCATGCCTGTAGTCCCAGCTACTTGGGAGGCTGAGGTAGGAGGATTGCTTGAGCCCAGGAGTTTGAGGTTGCTGTGAGCTAGGCTGACGCCGAGGCACTCACTCTAGCCTGGGCAACAAAGTGAGACTCTGTCTCAGAAAAAAAAAAAAGCGTTGTACAGAAATTACCCCAGGTCTTCAGATTTCTTGGGGGCATGGGCTGGCTTGGGGGCCGTGGTGTAGCAGCCTGGGGCAGGGAATGGCAGGACAGGGAAGGGCGGGGCAGGGAAGGGCGGGGCAGGCCCACGTGGGCGTGTGGCAGGGCAGACTGAGCCCAGCACTGCACGTCCACAGACTTGGGGCTCCAACTCGCGGGCGGGCGGCAGGGACCAGCCCCCAGAGCCGCCCTCCCCTCCACCGTCAGTGCTGCTGGTGGTGCCGTTATTATGAATTCCTAGCTTCTCTCAGAAACGTAACAAAAATGAAGTTGGATTTCTAAATATAAAATTATAAGCAGAATATTTACTGTGGATTCTATTTTGGTTACTTCACAGCAACAATTTTTAGAAATAATAAAAATTATTTCCTTCTCATCTCCAAAGGAAGAGACTGGCTCCGCAGGTGGATTTTCAAGGTGTGCGCTGACACCCACGCCGGCGCGCTCCTTACCTTGGGCAGTTTCGCCATTTTCTTCCTCTGCTTCCGGAATCGTAAGAGCTTATCCCGCTCCTGCAGAGACCAGTGGGGAGATTTTTAAAGCAGCTGAACGGCTCCATCAGCCTCAAAGCCACGGTTCAGTGTTTCCGTGTCATTGTGTGAACTGACGTAGGACACGGATTCAGGCCACGTGAAAGAGAGGCCTCCCCTGGGGGCCCTGCTCTGCAGGCCTGGGGGGCCCCCTCCCCGCCAGGGCTCTGACCCGTCGGCCGAGCCCGGCTGCCCTCTGCACGCACTGAGCCAGGAGGCGGGGACTGGAGGGGATGCCGGGAATGGGGAGCTCAGGGGGGCCAGCGGCCCAGGCCCCCCGCCCCTGCAGGACGGCGCCCACCCTGTGTGGAGGCCAACACCCTCACACGTGTAAGGAGACCAGTGACCTGCTTCTCTCGGGGGAACCCGCGGGGCGTTTCCTGGCATGACGGGAACCAGCCAGGCTGAGACCACCTGTCCGTGCCGGCCCCGGGGAGAAGCCAGGCGGAGGGGGTTTTCAGGGGAAGGGCAGCTGCCCAGCCCGGCCTGGCCGTAGCCATGACATGGAGCAGTCGCCGGGCTGGGTCCTGTCTCAGCTGGGTCCTGTCTCAAAGCCCTGGCCAGGCAGCGCCGTGAGGACAGCCAAGCCACCCAAAGCTGCTCTGTCTACACTGAGGCGCCGTCGGCCAGGGACGGGGCCCACGGGCAGCCACCCTGGGAACCGGGAGCGTCGCACTTGGGAGACACTGACTGGTACTTACTAACACGCTCTTCACGTAGCCGGCGGTTTCGAGGGTCTAGGAAAGAAAACAGCACGTCGCGGAACCGCTGCCGCATCCCAACCGCGGAACCTCACTGCCCACGCCCTCCGCCCCAGAGGAGCCTTCGCTCCCTGGCAGCCTCCGTCTTCCTCGGCTGCTGCCTGAGAGGTGCGGCGAGCACCGCAGGGCGCCCGGGACCCTGTTCAAGGTGGACGGGCACCTCCCTCGCTCGGCCGCAGGAGGAAGAGCCATTGGAAATAGAAACCGTGCGCATTTGCGCATTTGCGACGGGCCGAGGCCTTGCCCGTCCCTGCTATTTCCCTCACGAACTCCTAGCGCTGCCGAGACGGGGCGCGTTCACCCTGTAACTGAGCAAGAGACGAGCTCGGATCTCAGCATGCAGGGGGAGGCCCCGCCCCACCCCACCCCTGGCGGGCAGGGGTCCCTCTGTGCCCCATCTCCCGGTCCTGGGGAGCCGGCTTCGGTCACTGAAGACAGGTCAGCGCCTCCCAGCTGTGCGTGCTGGTGACACAGAGGGACCGGCCATCCGTGCGGGAGGACGCAGGACAGCCGTTCTGAGATGACCTCACTGCGGCATCGGTCTCGGTCCCAGCACAATGCGGGAGGTGCCCAAACGGGGATAACGGGAGCAGAGCTCCAGGAAGGACTATTTGCAAAACCGAGCTGGGTGCAGGGGACACCACGGGGTGGCCCTGTCGTGGGCTGGAGGCTGCCCCCAAAGACGTGCCCACGGCCTGCTCCCCAGACCGGCGAACGTGGCCAGACCTGGAAACAGCGTCTCTGCAGGTGTAGCTGAGCAAGGACCTGGAGCCCACCCTACTTGCTAAGAGCAACAGAAGAGGACAAAGCCGGGAAAGGTGGGGCAGAGATGGCGTGACATGGCCAACGGCCCCAGAGTCTTTGAGGTGGCAGAGAGGATCCTCCCCTGGAGCCTCTGCGGGCAGCGTGGCCCTGCCACAGCCACGGTTTTGGCCCCCAGAGCCGTGAGGACAAACCGCCGTTGTCGTGAGCCCTCCTGTGTGCTGATTAGCTACGGCGGCCCCAGCACTGGGCACGGCAGCACCGCTGGGCACGGGTAGCAGGAGGGACGCATTTCGGAGACCCAAGGAGAGGCTGGTGCAGGGAGGGCCACCTCGATAAGCCATGGCCCGGGGGGACCCAGCCCAAGTGGCCCCATAAACGCCCGCCCGTCCTCCCCACCTCCTGCCGGGCTCCTGGGAGCCAAGACGGGAGGGCCCACAGCCCACAGGTTACCTTAGACAGCTCGTCTATGAGGTTTTGCTGCTCGACAATCTGAAGTTTCAGGAAATCAATTTCTCTTTCGTCCTGACTCTGATCGAGGTCGTTTAAGGAGCTGGGTCTCCGTATGATGCCAGCCCTCTGTCTCTGCAACACGGAGCAGACCACGTCACACGTGGGGGTGGGGGGCAGCGCCTGAGTGCCCGTGGGGAGCTGGGGTCTCCCCTCCACTGCCTGAGCCAAACACACGCCACGGCCTCCCGCCCTACGGCTGCAAGGCCAGGGCCTCCCGCCCAGCCTCAGAGCCCGGGGGGAGCCGAAGGGCTTTCGGGCTCCTCTCCCACCAAGCGCGTGAGACCAGACGCCCGAGCGCAAGGCCTGGGCCTCGGCCCAGGAGCTGCCATCTTCCTGCACTGCGGGCGGGGACGCGGGGGTGGGCCCCCCTCTGCGCCGGCCCGCGGCCCCGGCCCGGCCCCTTACCATCTCTATGTTCTCCTGGGTGACGAACTTCAGCTTGTTCTCCATCCGACGCAGGGTGTGCGACAGATCTTCGTTTTTCCGAGTGAGGCGTTTGTTTCTGTCCAGCAGCGGCTTGTACTGACTCTCGGCCTCCCTCAAGCGCTTCAGCTGAAAGACAGAACCGATCGCACGGCCCGGCGTCTCTGGGTGCCAGGTCCCCACGCAGAGTCACCGCCCTGCCCAGAGCCTCGGCCCCCACAGTGAGGTCACCGACCCACTAGTTGGAAAGAGGCAACTTCAGTCCCCGCTGCCAGGTGGCGTCCACCTGCCTGGCGCCCAGGTGACCTGAGAGGCTGGGCTGGGCGTGGCCAGGGGACTGCGCCTGGTCCCATCGGCACGCAGACAGGGTGAAGCTGCGCCCCAGCAGCCCAGGGCCAGCACTCCTCTCGGCAAGGAGAGGCGCAGTCAAACTGCCAGCCCACTGGAACATTCTAGACACTCTAAGCCACTCACACACCCTCCAGGAGCTCAAAATCCCAGCGGCTGTCAGGACTGACGGTGAGGGCCGTGTCCTCACACATCCCGGACCCTGTGCAGAACGGGGGACACTGTCCCCAGACACAGAGAGCAGAGATCTTCCAGCCAGCACCCCAGGGCCAAATCCGGCCGCCCCCCACCTGTTTTGCTAATAAAGTTTTATCGGCACACAGCTGAGCGGCCCCGATGCAAGGCTGGCCTTGCCACCATCCCTCCTCTGTTCTAGAAGGAACTTGGGAAGTAGAGGCCCCACCCCCACTGTGCAGCCACAAACCCAGAGGATCCCAAAGCCCCTCGGCCCCTCACCAGCTCGTTCCGCTCCTCCGACAGCAGCGCGTTCCGGTCTTCCAGCTTGCGGATGATCGCGCTCAGCTCTGCGATTTTCAGTTGGAAGCGCCGGGCGTCCTTTTCATCCAACTGCTGTTCCTAAAACAAAGACCAACTGCAAATAACCGTCCCCAGACACGGGCGCAGAAACCCCTGGCAAACCCCGGCGCGCTAAGGAGACCTAACGCACCGCATGGTCCTGGCCTTGGCTTCCGGCGGCTGCGGGGGGAGGCAGCCCTGCCCCTCGGCCGCGGCCACTGCAAACCGCACGGTGGGGACGAACGGGAGGAGCAGAAATGCCCCAAGGGTGCAAATGTGGGGGGCCGGGCGTGCAGATGCGGGAACCGCCCGTCTGGGCCACGCCGGGGAGACGCCGCAGCCGCCCGTGCTCTGGGGGCCGCTGCTGAGCCGCACCTGCGGGAAGGGTCCGCCCCGCCCCGCCCGACCCGGCGGGGGCCGATTTTCGGGCATTGTGCCGTGAGCACAGGAGGAGCTACCGGGAGACTGTGGAAGGCTGGCTTCCCAAGAAGGGCGCCCTCAGACGAAGCCGCTAGCGGGTCACCTTTGTTTGGAACCACCGGGCCTTGGTCACGGATCAGCGAAAACATTCGATCTGGTTTCAGAATGTCTCTGGAGTTAATGCAATAGTCTGTCAAGCACCAGAGCAGGGGGTGCTGGTTTTAATTCGGTTAATCCCTTCATAATCAGATCACAAAATGTTGTTTTCTATTCTTGAAATGTCACTGTCCTAGGCCTGGCTCAGCTCAAATAGAGTTTCAAAGCAAGGACTCGACCGTCCAGGGAGGGGCCGGGCGAGACTCGAGTTCCTCATTCAACAGGTGCAGGAGAGGCGGGGGGGGGGGCAGGCCCTGCAGGACCACCGGGGTCCCTGGCAGGCGGGTCCCCAGGAAGTGCCAGAGCCACCACGGAGAACCTGGACGAGGAGAGCACGGAAGCCGCGGCCACGCGGGCCCCACGCCGCCACGGGCAGCCGCAGGCGCGGGGAGCGGTGCAGCCGCACAAAAGCGGATGACTGGTGGCGTGCGTGCCGGGAGCCACCACCCCAGGGGCCCGGCCGCGGATGGGACGGGCAGGGAGCCGGCACAGGGGCCTCTCCGGGCAGAGGGCCAAGCCCGCGTGCGGAGGGAAGCAGCGCGTGCCCAGGCAGCCTCCTCTGCCGCCAGCCGGGGGCCGCAGGAGGGAGATGAGGCCGGTGCTGGCGGCTGTGTTGGCGGGAAGGAAGGGGACGTCTCTGCCAGCGCTCCACGGTCAGGGCCAGGCTGCAGGGCACCCAGGGCCGGCGCTGGCTCCGCCTGGGCTCTGGCCAACCCCCTCCCTGGGGTACTGCCTGCTAGGGGCAGCCCCGTCTGTGTGCACGTCTAGGGGCCGGGCGGGGCCTGGGGAGGTGCTTACAGGGCTTCCCGAGTGGTCTGAGGCGTCTCCTGCACCGCCTGCATGAGGAAGTTCCCGCCTGGGGCTGCCGGGGTGCCGGTCGGCCTCTCTGACCTGGGACAGCTGCTCGTCTAGAGCCTCCTTTTGGAGCTGCAGCCTCTGAGCGTGCCCGGCTTGCACCCCTAACTCTCTCTCCAGCACGAAGACTGCTCTGTCTTTAAACTTTATCTCCTCCATCTACAAGGAGAACAGAACACAGTCACACAGGCAGGCCGGGCGCAGGGCTGCGGCCACCACGGAAACAGGCGGAGTGTCGGCCCCGTCAGCGTCTCGGGCTCTGAGACCAGAAGCGAAAGCGGAGCGTCGCGCGCTGAGAGCCGGCAGCCCCGCTGCCCGCTGAGGCACCTTCCTGAAGGGTCCCGGCCCCCGTGTGCCCCATCCCGCCCCGTCCCGCTGGGGCTCCCAGTGTGCAGGGGCCACGGGTCCCACAAGGCCAGGAGAAGGTTCTAGCAGCCCTTGCCTCCCGCTGCACAGAGTCACCCACACCCCGCCAGCAGGAGAGGAGGCGCAGGGCGCCAGGGAATAGGATTCCGGCCTCAAAGCCCATGTTGCCCCTTCCCCATCTGGGCCTGTGCACCAGGGGAGGAGGGGCGGGGTGGGCAGGTGGGGGCCCTGCTGTCGTCCAGGAATGGCCACGGCTATTGCCAGGCAAGCCGAGGCCTTTGGGGTGAGGTGGGGCACCCAGACAGGCGGGCCGGACGGCAGTGTGGGGTGGCCAGGTCTGCCTGTGAGGCCCTGTGCTCCCTGGCCAGGCTGGTGGCTGTGAGGGTGGGTGGCCTTCCCACCCCCCTAACGCGCAGCTCTGTGGGCTCCACCTGCTAACAGCAGCTTAAGACGCCCGTCCGGGTCACAGGGGCCGCCTGCTGCGGAGCCCCGGGCCCTCCTGCCAGCGGCTGCAGGGACGCGAGGGCGGGTGACGGGCACTGAGCTCAGAGGCGAAGGCAGAGCAGGCCAGACGGAGCGGCCCAGAGTCCGCACGACAGAGTCCACTTGGGGGCTTGGGCGCCGTCGCTGACAGCCATGCATTTACAGGGAGATGGGGCCACCAGGGGTTCAGGGAGGACAGCCTGGCACGGAACACTTTTCAGCACCAGGACAGACTAGGGTATCTGTCCACTTTACATGCGGTTTAAAGATAAAACCATCCCACTGGAAACTCCTAAGACCCTATTAAAAAAAGAAAAAAATATATATTTTTTGAAGTAAAATTTTAAAATATTAAAAAAAAAAAAAAGATAAAACCAGCTAAGGTGCTGAGGTTAGCTTGGAAGCACAGGCGGAGCTGTCTGACCAGCCCAGATTGTGGACTTCAGGCCGCGGAGTGAGGGGGGAGGGGGCGAGCAGAACAAGAAATCCCTAACCGCTAAATTCTCGCTTACTCGAGCACAGAGATGCTGGAAGAGGACGCACAGTCGATTAGTGAGAACAAAAGGAGAATATACAACACAAACGAGCGGTGTCACTTTCCTCTTATCGGGGAAACAAGAAATCAATAGCCGGGGGCCGGGCGCGGTGGCTCACGCCTGTAATCCTAGGACTCTGGGAGGCCGAGGCAGGAGGATCGCTCAAGGTTAGGAGTTTGAGATCAGCCCGAGCAAGAGCGAGGCCCCATCTCTACTAAAAATAGAAAGACTAGCCGGGCATGGTGGCGCGTGCCTGTAGTCCCAGCTACTCGGGAGGCTGAGGCAGGAGGATTGCTTGAGCCCAGGAGTCTGAGGTTGCTGTGAGCTAGGCTGACGCCACGGCACTCACTCTAGCCTGGGCAACAGAGCGAGACTCTGTCTCAAAAAAAAAAAAAAAAAAAAAGAACCGGACCCACAGACCCCACCTCTAGACCCACCAGGGCATGTGGCTCGGAGCAGGGGCAGACCAAAAGATGACGAGAGGTAGCCAATAAGGACTAGAAATCATTGTGATTGGTGGAAACAGACCCAGAGAGGATGAGGATATTGAAGTTGGAGGATAAGAACTTTAAAAAATTATTATTAATACACTAAAAATGATCAATGTGATTAATACATTAAAATATTTTGATAGAGGTAGAAAATAAAAATGTAATTCAAGTGACAATTAGAATCTACAAAAAGAAATTAAGTCAACACAAAAACTCTACATATAATATCTAAAATTAGGAAATCACTGGGAAGGTTTAAAAACAGACTAGGCACGGTAGAACCATGAAGCCAAGATAAACCCACAGAAAATGTCCAGCTGAAGGGAAAATAAGGGCACAAAAGGGAAAAGAAACAGAAAAACAAAACAGAGTGGAGTTTAAGAGAAATGAGGGATATGGTTAAAATGTCTAACGTATTTAATACGCGCAACTGGAGCCCCAGAAAGAGAGGGGAGCAGAAGTAATATCTGACTAAATAACAGGGTCAAGAATTTTCCAAGTCTGGTGAAAGACATCACTTCAGATTCAAGAAGCTTAGCTGGCCCAAGAAGTGTGAAAAAACTAGAAAAACACACCTAGACGCTTCATAGTGAAATTGTTGAAAACCAAAGAGAATGTCTTAAAAGAGGACAGGAATAAAGACGGATCGTCCCAGAGGAACGAGCGTGAGAGTCACGCTGGCTGCTCAGCGGAAGCTGATGAAACCGGAAGACAGTGGAGTGACCTCTCCTGAGTGACAGCAGAAAAACCTGACAGCTCAAGAGTTCCAGATTCCATGAATATGTCCTTTAAAAAAAGTATATATTAGCCGGGCGCGGTGGCTCATGCCTGTAGTCCTAGCTCTCTGGGAAGCTGAGGCAGGCGGATTGCTCAAGTTCAGGAGTTCGAAGCCAGCCTGAGCAAGAGCAAGACCCCGTCTCTACTATAAATGGAAGGAAATTAATTGGCCAACTAATATATATATATAAAAAATTAGCCGGGCATGGTGGCGCATGCCTGTAGTCCCAGCTGCTCGGGAGGCTGAGGCAGAAGGATTGCTCAAGCCCAGGAGTTTGAGGTTGCTGTGAGCTAGGCTGATACCACGGCGCTCACTCTAGCCTGGGCAACAAATCGAGACTCTCGATTAAAAGGATATATTCCTTTTAAACGGAATATATTTCTTTTAATATATTAGGAATATTAATATTAGTATATTAATATTAATATCTTCCTAAAATATATTTAAACGAAAGATATTCTTAGACAAGCGAAAGTTGAGATACGCACTGCAAGCAATTCTATTATTTTAATTTATTATTATTATTATTTTTTTTTTTGAGACAGAGTCTTGCTTTGTTGCCCAGGCTAGAGTGAGTGCTGTGGCGTTAGCCTAGCTCACAGCAACCTCCAACTCCTGGGCTCAAGCAATCCTCCTGCCTCAGCCTCCCGAGTAGCTGGGACTACAGGCATGCACCATCATGCCCGGCTAATTTTTTCTCTATATATTAGTTGGCCAATTAATTTCTTTCTATTTATAGTAGAGACGGGGTCTCGCTCTTGCTCAGGCTGGTTTTGAACTCCTGACCTTGAGCAATCCGCCCGCCTCGGCCTCCCAGAGAGCTAGGATTACAGGCGTGAGCCACAGCGCCTGGCCATAGTTTTTAAAATTATATTTTAATTTCTCTTTTCTTTCTTTTTTTTTATGATTCAAAGGACATCAAAAGGTACATGCACACAATTCTAAAGGAGTTCCCGTCTGGGAAGATTCCGGACAAGAGCACAAAAGGGCAATATATGAATAGATATAAAAGACTATCCACTGCTCAGAGGAACATTAAAAACCATTTGTTTTGGGGTTTATAAAGTGCAAAAGCTAAATATATGGCAGTTATAAGAAAGGGGGTGATGTTGCTTTTATAAGGTGACTGTGTTTTGGCTATGTAGCAAAAGGACTAATTTAGGATACAATGTAGCAATTTAAGGATACATTTTAAAAGTTCTATTTAACCACTAATGGAATGATACTAAATGTTATAAGAGAAAGGATAACCCCAATGAAGGCTGGAGATTGAGGGAGGGAGGGAGGGAAGGAAGAAGAGAGTTCAGAAAAGAGAACAAAACTCGAGCCACGAGCACTGGGAATGAAAGCCCCCGACAGCGCACGACTCCGACAAACGTCCCCCACAGAAGATGGAGAGACAGCCGCGACAGATCCGCGCAGGGACGTGCTGTGAGCCCTGGTTTCCGAGAGCCGCGGGGACAGGCAGGAGCAGTGCGCCGGCCGGGAAGGGGCTGGCGTGTGTGCCGCACCTTGATTGAAGTGGCGCTTACTCGGTGAACGCACGTGCCAAAAATCACCAAGCTTTTCCATCAGACTTGACTGTGCTGCGTAGAAGTTTCCCCAAAAGGAGCAGAGAAACAGATCCTGATGCCCAGGCTTCGCCCTCCAGAAACTCTGGTTTCATCGGTCTGGGTGCTAAGCCTGTACCTTTAGGCTCTTAAAAGCCCTCAATGTTCCCAAGCTTTTCCTAAGCAGGTGTCTCGTGGATGTCAGAGCCGGAGCCAGGAGGCAAGTGGCTCCTCAGGGCTCGGGGGTCTTACCTCTGAGACCCCCTTTACCTGCGCAGTGCAAGGTACACACACACGGAACGGGCTGCCCCTGGGGAGCAGGGGCGCAGGCTAAGCTGGGTTAGGGTTAGGGCGTCTGGCGGTGGGTGGCCTTGAGCCACGGGCAGGGCCATCTCTAGCGAGACCTGGCCCAGCCTAGGAGCCGACAGGGCTGCGGCTGCAGCTGGTCACGCCGTTCAGGAAAACAGACCCCAAGGAGAAGACAGGCCCTTCATGCCGGTCACTTACCTGCAGCAAAAGCCATGGACACGAGGGACGGGCTGCTCCCCACCCACACACCGAAAATAGCACTTCGGGAGAAGCGGACTTTGTTTTTATAGTCGTCCTTTTACGGGGCTTTAATCACGGCTGTATATTATTGTTTCACGTTAACCAGCTGTCTAGACGGCTGGGGCATCATAGATTTTTATGAGAAAGAAGACATTGGGCTTTGCCTGTAATTCTCTGGATTTATAGTTTTCAATAACGGTCTGGGCTTGTGTTCCAGCAAATGCACTTGGGCGTGCAGTGGCCGCATGCTGACAACATCTCCCCCGGACTCCGTCACAGCTCAGCATGGAAGTGCCACATAGCTGCCCCCTGAGGCCCAGCGCAGCCCTGTCCCCATACAGTGTCACTAGCTCCATGGGACTCTGCTGTAGAGAGTCAGGCCACCGGGAAAAAAACCAGACAGTTTTAATTCTTCCTTTCCAATCTTGTACCTTTAATTTCTTTCTTTGGACTTACTGCACTCACTCAAATGTGTCTTTGGGGAAAGATTTTCTTAAAAATAAAGGAGAAAACATTCTCCACAAAATAGTAGCATTTCTGCCTGTTTACCTTAAAGTAAAGTGCCTCCCTCTCTCCCTCACACACACACACACGTGCACACACATAGGTATATGCACACGCACATACATGCACACATGCATACACATATATGCACACACAGGCAGCAGCCACAAGGGCACAACACGGAGGAACTCTGAAGAGACACACGAAAGGAACTAAAGAAAACCTCTAGGAAACAGCCAACTGCAATAATTATCCTGGAGAATTAAGAGATGGAATCACACCCATGCAGGAGAGGGGAGTGCCAAGAGATTTTTGTTTCGGAGAACGAACATTTTGAGAATTAAATGCACGATGGCAGAAAGAAAAAACTGAACAGAAAAGTTAGAAGAGAAAGTTGGGGGCGTTTCCTAGAAAGTAGAACAGAAAGCCAATGCTGGAGAGAAAAATAGGGAACCAGAGCCTCAAGCCCGAGGTCCACACCGACTCGCAGAGCGATGGAAGGAAGAGAGGGAAGACGGTGCAGGGAACGGGCGGTGGCGTCTCCCAGGCTGCGGGACACGGTTGGGGGGGGAGGGCTCCCGACACCTGCAGGGCTGGATGCTCTGAGCTCAGAGAGGAAACCCCGCAGCCCCCGGCCGGGTGGGAAGGGGCAGCCAGGCAGCCCGAGAAAGAGAGTCGGGGCCCGAACGCCCCTGGACGGCAGCCCTGCAGGTGAGGAGCTCGGGCGGAGGTGCCTGCGGGTTTCTGATGGGGGCTCCGTCCCACCTGCAACTCCACACCCAGTTAGAACACCAGGTACGCGGCGAGCACAGACACATTTCATACACAGGCCTCAAGAAATGCCTCTCCATCCCCCCCGTTTCCCAGGGAGCTACTAGAAACATGCTCCACCTAGACACTCCCTAGCACCCACGTGAGCACCGTGGCAACGCCACGTTTCCTTCTCAGCTCCCGGTTTGCCCTTCCTGGCCGTGTGTCCAGGGGAGGCTGCAACCTGTCCGGGAAGTTCCGTGTGGCTGCACAGCCAGAGGCGACCTTGGAAACCCGCAGCCGTGGGGAGGAGGGCGTGTGGCTGTCCCTGTCCCTGCCCCACGGCCAGGCCACGTGGGAAGACCTCTGCACCCCTCTGAGGTGTCCGGGGCGCTGGGTCCAAGACACGTGGAGCAGAGAAGCAGGGCACCACCCCGTGTCCCGGATTCCCTGGGACGGTCCACCCGCCAAGGGGTGAGGGGAACAGGGGTGCAACCCACCCCCCGGACCCTGAGCCTTCTCTGCAACCTCGAAACACCTGCCTCTGAGGGCATCAACCACCAGAGCCGGCCAGGGCATCCCGGGTCTCTGGAACTAGGAGGGAAGACACGCGATAAAGGTGCCGGCGTTTGGCCACACGGACCCGCAACGCTGGCGTTCCCAGGCCGAGAGCCGAGTGTCCCAGAGAGGGCATGACACACGGAGGCTGGTCTCGTCCCTGTCTGCGGTGAGTCTGGAGACCCTGAGCGCCGTCCAGTTGAGAGAGGAGACTCCTGCCCTCAAAACGCGGAGCCCTGCTCGGCTTCAGGGCTGACCCGGGAGGGCGTCGGGGGACCCTCTCCGACCCTCTGGGGAAGCGGGGACGGACGGGGAGTGCTGACTTCCAGATTTCTGCTCAGCCCACCTAGAATCGGCCGTGGCCGGTGTGGACGGAGGGCGGTCGGGGCTCCCCTGCCCGTGGGCTCTGAACTGCAGCCTCCACGTCCAGGAGCCATGCCCGGGGACCCCGGAGCCCACAGGGACGGTGAGAGGGACGTGCGTGCAGAGAGTGGCGGGAGAGGGGCCAGAGCCGCCAGCCCGCCCCGCCCCCCCGCCACCGGCCCGCCACGCCACGCCACGCCCCTGCCGGCCACGCCCGCCACATACCAGCCTGCGGATCTCGCGCTCGCACTCCTTCTTGATGCGGCTGATCTCCTCCTGGTGCAGGTGGTACACGCTGCGGATCTCGGCGGCCTTGATCTTGTCGGCCTGCATGACCAGCGTCAGCGCCTCCTCCACCTGCCTCTTGGCGCCCTTGAGCTCCGAGATCTCCTGCTGCATCTTGACCTTCTCCACCTCGAAGCCCCGCTTGACCTCCTCCTTGGCCTCGGACAGGAGCACGGTCTTGACCTTGTCGGGGCCGCCCTCCCGCAGCGCGTGCAGCAGCGCCTGCAGCCGCTGGTTCTCGTTGTCCTTGATCTTGATGACCCGGAGCAGCTCGGCCTCGTGCTGCCGCAGCAGCGCCTCGCGCACGGCCTGCAGCTCGCGCGTCTTCTCCTCGTGCAGCTTGGTCTTCAGCTCCGTGAGCAGCACCGCGCTCTTGTGCTGCTCGTGCTCGCGCACCTGCCGCAGCTCCTGGTTCTTCTCGCGCTCCACCCGGCCCACCTGCAAGACAGCCGCGACACCGGGCTGGCGGGGCCGCCGGCCGCTGGGGGGAGGGTCGTGTCTCGGGAAACTTAGGAGCTGCCCCCCATTCCGAGATCTCCCCTTCAAACGCGCGACAGACACGGGACCCAGACCTGGAGGGAGGAGCGCGTGCATGCGCGGCCGTGGCGCTCCACGGAGCTCGGGCGTGGGCAGCACCAGCCGGGGGCGGGAGGCTGTGGACACACGGTCCTCGGAGGGTGGGCTGGCCCTCCAGGAACAGGCCATGCCGGGGAGGCAGAGCACGGACCTCTCACGGGAACCCACCAGGCCGGGGGCAGCGGGAAGCTTCCCTGGGACGCAGCCCCACGGGAGCAGGCGGGCACGCCGACCGCTGGCCGGGGGTCCTCGGGCAGCCTCTGCCCAGCGCCCTGCAGCCCCCCACGGAGGGTGCTGCCCGGCATGGGGCACGCGGCAAATGGGAACAAATCTGAGCGGCTGGGCCGTAGGACGTGGCCTCATCTCAGGCTTTTGGAAACACTGAGATTGGTTTGTTTGTTTTTTTAGACAGAGTCTTGCTTTCTTGCCCAGGCTACAGTGAGTGCCATGGCGTCAGCCTAGCTCACAGCAACCTCAAAATCAAGCGATCCTCCTGCCTCAGCCTCCCGAGTAGCTGGTACCACAGGCATGCACCACCATGCCCGGCTAATTTTTTTTTTCCATATATATTTTTTTAGTTGGCCCATTAATTTTGTTCTACTTTTAGTAGAGACGGGGTCTCGCTCTTGCTCAGGCTGGTTTCGAACTCCTGACCTTGAGCGATCCTCCCGCCTCGGCCTCCCAGACTGCTAGGATCACAGGCGTGAGCCACCACGCCCGGCCGACACTGAGATCTTGCCTGGATGTCTTGACCCATCTAGATGCTTGAGCCTCTGGCTACACTGACCCGTCACCCACACTCTGACACACAGTAGGTGCTCAGAGTCTGCTCAGGGAAAGAGGGGTGGTGGTGCCAGTCCTGCCCTCGTCTACCCTGTGGCTGGACGCCCAGGCACTGGAGCACACGGGGTTCACGCCTCGGCGCCGTGGCCTCCCCCTCCACGGTCTCGGGGCTCTGCTCCCCCCGCCCCGCAGAGCAGCTAAGCCATGAGGCTCCCGGGGTCAGGCCCACGGGGTCGCCCGTCCCCGTCCCAGCGTCAGTCCCCCAGGCTGTGCTGCGGCTCTGGGGCTCCCTGCTCACCTGGCAGCCCCCACCGTCCCCACAGCCCCACCCCCGGCCTTACAGCCCTGGCCTTGGCCACCCCAAGGCCAATCTGTCTCACTCAGGCCTCGGAGGCAAGCCGGGGGGAAGCTCAGTGTCACTTCCAGGGAGGCCTGTCGGGCAAAGCCCCCAGGGCCCGGCGCATGCCCAGGGTTGGGGCCACCATCCGGCCCCCGCTGACCAGGCCCTCGGGTGTCTCCATGGCCTCTGACCCCAGCGGCCTGTCCTGAGCGCCCTGGGGACACTCCTGGGCCCGCAGGACACCCCTCTCGGCAGGCAGAGCCGGGCGGGCCGGTGGGGGGGGCAGGGAAGGCCTCACGGGCGGGGTAGGGGTACGGGGGGCCCACCTTGCTCTTCTCCTGCTGCAGCTCGATCTGGATGTCCGTGAGCTTGGCGCGCAGCTCCTCGTTGGCTGCCTGCAGCGCCGCGAAGGCCTCCGCCTTGTCCCCCCGGGCGCGGCCGCCGGCGCCCTTCTTGGACATGGTGAGGCCGGACGGCAGGTGGACGGTGGGCTGGGTGGGTGCTCCGTGGGGGCCGGGGTGTCCGCGCTGAGCTCAGCAGGCGTCGCCGGGGCTGCGGCTCCACTACATGTTCTCACTCACCTGCAGGGGAAGCACACGCAGGTGAGCGGCTGCTCCTGGCCGGCGCGGGGGCCGCTGCCCTCACCTGCTTGGCCCTGTCCCGGCGCTGGGGACCCTGCTCCGACTCTGCGATGTGGGGAGCCAGTCCCAGACCACTGGCGCCAGCCCCGTGCGGTGTCCCCAAACACGGGGACCCCACGCAGAAGGCCACGTGTCCACGCCTGGCACGTAACGAGCACTTGGTAAGTGTTCATGCTTTTCCCTCCCAGGAATGGGAGCTGGGGCGCCCAGCGTGACACCCAGAACGTCACACCTGGGTGTGAAGCAGCAGGACGGCAGCCGTGGGTGGACCACGAGCCGCTCGAGCCGGACCCACACCTGCGTCCGGGAAACACCCAGAAGTACGGCGAGCGGGGTCTCGGCAGGGACTCCTGCACTCGCATCCACGGCAGGCAGAGGAGGAAGCACCCACCTGTCAGCCCACCGATACGTGGACAAACGAAGTGTGGAATTCCATAGAACGGAATATCGTTCAGCCTTAAAAAGGAATGAAACGCAAACACATGCCACGGCACGCATGAATCCTGAGGACACAGTGCCCGGTGAAATGAACCAGTCGCGAAGGGGCAAATCCCGCAGGATTCCACTTACACGGCGGGTGAGGAAGGGACGTGCCACAAGGCAGATGTGTCCCAGGAGCGGCTCGCACAGGTGCCCAGCCTGCAAGGCAGGGGTGCAGGAGCCGTCCCTGCGGCCCCGAGCCCTGGGGTAGGCGGGAGCAGGGGGCGCTGCCCAGCCCTGCGGCCAATGCTGGGCATGAGCAGAGTGGCCGGGGCAGCTGCCGGTGCCAGTCCTGCCTGGGGCGGAAGCTGGGACCACAGGCACCATCGAGGGAGCCCTCGAAGTCCCCCAGACCCCTCTCCAGAAAGCTACGACCCACCAGGCACCTCATGCACCGGGAGACCCCAAGCCAGTGCAGGTGGTCTCTGGGCTGATCTGCCCTCCCTGGGGCAGCAGAAGTAACTCTGGGACCAGGTTTCCCAGTGAGAGGCCACCGAGCCACGCGCAGGGTTATTTAAGGGACTGAGGTCCTGGTGCTGGGAGAGAAGGTCCCGTGTGTCCAGACCACCGGCTGCCCTCAGACACCCAGAGGGCAGGACACATGCAAGGGGCGGAGACTGCCTCTGAGTGGCCCGAGAGGCATGATTCAGGCCAGGGTGCGAGACAGTGGGGACAGTCTCAGCCAGACGGGACGGGAGCTGTCCCCAAGCCCAGCAGGTGGAAGGGCTGAGTGTGGACCCCCAGCCACACCGAGGCCTGAGCTGGGAGTGTGGGAGGGGACTCGGGGGGCACCCACCCAGCAGGGCCCCCCTCCTTCCCTGCCAGCTCAGCGTCCCACGTGGCGGGGCCACAATGGGCTGCCAAAGCCACGAGGGGCACGGGTATGACATGCCAGCCATGCGTCTCAGTACCACAGGGAGTTGGCCCAGCGCCGGCCCCTCCTGCGCCCCAGGCCACGGGCCACTCGTCACTAGTGCAGGACCTCAGCTGCCCCTGCCCTGCTCCCCGACCCTGAACGGGGACCTTTCTCGGGCTGCCAGGCCTCAGGGTGCTGGACGTCTGGGCCGGGGCCATCAAGGGCCTGCCCCGCCCCCCCCGACCCCCTGGGCCTGCCCCAGCATCTCCAGGTTGGCCCCAGAGCTGTCCCTGTGGGCCGGCACACGGCAGGACACAGGTGCGCTTTCCCCACTGTTCCTGTGTGGGAGCCACGCGGTTCGCTCTGTTCCAGCCAGCGCGATTGCCAGCGCCGCAGTGTGCAAGGCGGGGTCGTCTCCAGGGACAGCTCTGGGTGACGAGGCCCTCCCCGGCACGCGCCCCAGGCAGGAGGGCTGCTCCCACGCGCAGACCTCTCCTTCGCTGAGCCGACCGTGCTCGGCCTCCTCCAGGGGCAGACGCCTCTTGGCAGCCTCACGGCGCCCGGACGCCCACCGAGACGCGGTAGGGCTGGCCGCGGCACAGGCGGCCCTGAGCAGGCACATGCCGAGGGCTCTGCCTAAGGAAGCAGCAGTCTCTGCCCAATGCAGCGAGTGGGCTCAGTGACAGGGAAGGGCTCAGTGACAGGGAAGGGCTCCGTGACAGGGAAGGGCTCAGTGACAGGGAAGGGCTCAGTGACAGGGAAGGGCTCAGTGACAGGGAAGGGCTCAGTTACAGGGAAGCTGCGCTCCGTTGCCAGGAGGAAGAGACTGGCAAGGAGAGAAGAGGGCTGGCGGGTGGGACCTGCCACCAGGCCTCACACGTCCCACTCCACTGCGGGTGCCTCCCCCTGCTGCTCCTCCCCAGCTGCTCCTCTCCCCAGCTGCTCCTCCCCAGCTGCTCCTCCCCAGCTGCTCCTCTCCCCAGCTGCTCCTCTCCCCAGCTGCTCCTCTCCCCAGCTGCTCCTCCCCAGCTGCTCCTGCCCCCAGCTGCTCCTGCCCCCAGCTGCTCCTGCCCCCAGCTGCTCCTCCCCAGCTGCTCCTCCCCAGCTGCTCCTCCCCAGCTGCTCCTCTCCCCAGCTGCTCCTCTCCCCAGCTGCTCCTGCCCCCAGCTGCTCCTGCCCCCAGCTGCTCCTGCCCCCAGCTGCTCCTGCCCCCAGCTGCTCCTCCCCAGCTGCTCCTCTCCCCAGCTGCTCCTCTCCCCAGTTGCCCCTCCCCAGCTGCTCCTGCCCCCAGCTGCTCCTGCCCCCAGCTGCTCCTCCCCAGCTGCTCCTCCCCAGCTGCTCCTCTCCCCAGCTGCTCCTCTCCTCAGTTGCCCCTCCCCAGTTGCTCCTCTCCAGCTGCTCCTCCCCAACTGCTCCTCCCTCCTAGCTACTCCTCTTCCCAGCTGCTCCTCCCTCAGCTGCTCCTTCCTCCCAGCTGCTCTCCTCTCCCAGGTGCTCCTCTCCTCCAGTTGCTCCTCTCCCTAGCTACTCCTCCCCACAGCTGCTCCTGCCCCAGTTACTCCTCCCTCCTAGCTGCTCTCCTCCCCCAGGTGCTCCTCCCTCCAGGGCTCCTCTCCTCCAGATGCTCGTCCTCAAGTGCTCCTCCCCCAAGTGCTCCTCCCCGGGTGCTCCCCTCAGCTGCCCAGAGGACCAAGGGCACTGTAGCCCTCACAGGTCCACGGGGCCATCTGTGGCCCTCCCACTCCTGAGGCTTCCCCACATCGCCACGGTGACCGGCTCTCCCAAGCAAGGGCAGAAATTGCCCATTTCCCCACCCCTCTTTGTTCACTTTTTTGTTCTCATCACGTGCTGCAAGGCCGTGAGGCAACCAGGACGGGAGAACACAAGCCAGCAGGACACACATGGAAGCTTCTGGATTGTGAGGGTGGCAAGAGCAGGTACCCCAGCCCCCAGCACCTGTCTGTCGCACAGCATGACCCCAAGAGGGACAGCCCAGGAACCGTACTCAAGGCCACCTCCCAGAGGCCCATGGCCCTCCCTGGCAGACACGGCCCGTCCTGGTACCCCACCTTCTGTCGGCCCCGGGCTGGGGAGGCAGAGTCACCCCGCAGACTGACGGAGGCCGAGCCATGTGCTGTGGGGCTCTGCAGGGCGAGTGGCCGGCAGGGCCCGAGAGGGGGTCCAGGCAGGCTTCCCAGGGACACCTCTGGGCAGAGGCTGGGCGGGCGGGGAGAGCCGCACAGAGAGACGGGAGGAGTGGACAGAGGGACTGGCATCATGGCCAGCGGGTGGTGGCGTGGACACCCCTGAGCCGAGAGGAGCCTATCCGCTGACACGCAGACAGGGTGGTGGCAGGGTGATGCTGGCACGTGTCACTCTGAAGAGCCCTGGCAGCTGTCCACGCATGTCGCTCCCCTGAAGGAGCCCGTGTGGCCAGACGTCTCCTCCCTGGACAGGGCTGTGCAGTGGGTCTCGCTGCCAGCTGGAGGCTGGAGCTGCGTTTTTCACGCCTGTGTTGGGGAAGTCGTTAGACTGACAGCACAGACTGCCGCCCTCTGTCTCGGGTCTCCCAGGAGGTAACACAGGCGGTTCACACCTGAACCGCCTTCCGAGGGCTGCAGAGGCGGCTGGGCTGTGCTCTGCATGAGCGGTTTTGTGTTAGGAGGTTTCGGCAAGCGTGACAACGCTTCACCGGTGACGGACGTGTTTCCGCCGGGGGTCAATCACCGCAGTTAGCCCCGACGTGGAGGTGGGGTCTGGCTGGGGTGTCGCTCCGGACCAGGCCTGCAGGGCCGTGTTTCACGTGGAGCCAAGGGCTTGGCTTTGCCGCCATGTGACACAGGGGACCCAAGCGGCCGGTGAGAGCCACAGGCACCCAGCAGCCTTCAGTACAGGCCCGTGCATCCGCGCCTGCCTGGGGCCAGAAGGGCGGGGTCTTCTGCGGCTTTGGGGACCTGCAAGGCTGACACCCTCGGCCAGGGGACTTTGTGGGTTAACTACCCTGTTTCCCCGAAAACAAGACCTCCCCATAAAGTAAGCCCTAGCAGGATTTCTAAGCATCTGCGAAATATGAGCCCTACCCCGAAAATAAGCCCTAGTGACAGGCGTGGCTACGCGGCGCGTCTGCACAACCCGTGCATTTCGTCTCGGAGCAGGAAAGACGACGAGCAGCCCTTTTCATCTGCCCCATCGTGACAGCGACTATCCCAGAAGTGACCGGAAAGGTGTGGGCAGCCCCACCAACAAGGTCGGCTCCCCTGTCGGGTCCCGGCCGTCCTGTGCGTGCTGCAAGCTGAGGCTTTGAGGGGAAAATCACACATGCCCTGAAAATAAGCCCTGGGGTGTCTTCTTAAGGAAAAATAAACATAAGACCCTGTCTTATTTTCAGGGAAACACGGTAGTTCGTCTACACAGAAGGAAAGATGAGTGTTACGATTCCCTTCCACAGAAATCTGGGGTGTGGCAGCAGAGGGGGGTCCTGGGGAGGGCCAGAGACTCCCCTGGGGAGGGGAGGATCGGGAACCACCGGGTCCAGGGCTGCAGCTCCCTCTTGCTCCGGTCTGGCAGACGCCCACGTGCGGCTCTGCCCGGAGCCCTCCAGGGAGGAGCAAAGACAAGACTCGGACCAGGTAGCCGGGGCCTTCCCCGGGCAGGGCTCCCAGGTGCCAGCAGGGGGTCTGTGGGGTCCGTGGCTCCGTCCATTCCTGCTGCTTCTCCGGGGGTCAGACCAGACTCGGGCCTCAAGGTGACCCCAAAGGGACGCGGCTCTCCCCTTAACACTTATCTTCTTGAAAAACAGAAACACGGCTCAGGGGGGAACCGACTGGCCATCACACCTGGTCTGAACGTATTTGATCGTAGCGTGGGGTCTGCACCGTCAGCCCCTGAGAAGGTGGCACAGCAAGGACATGACAAGGACACGAGGCTGGGAGCAGCACAGGGTCCCAAAGGGCGCAGAGAGCCCACGGTCCTGCCCAGAATCCCGGAGACCCAGCGCCTGCAGTGCCCGCCCCAGCCCCAGCCCTGCCCCACCCCCTGCCCAGCACGTGGAGCTGTCGCTATTTGTCATTTCAGCCATTCTGACTGGTGACCTCTAATACGCATTTCCCTCGTAGGGAATAAGACAGCCTTGCGCGAGCTGTGTGCCACGCGCCCACCCGCTCTGGGAGCCGTCTGTGGCCGGGCGCTGCCCCCGGCCCCTCGCAGGAGAGACGCTCTCTGGGGCCGGGTCTGTGCCCACTGGCATCGCTGAGTTGCCAATGCCTTAACTCCACGTCTGGGAGATACCAGGGGTCTTCAAAAAGTTCGAGGAAAATGTGCATTATGACAAAAACGACGCGTGGATTGCAGAATTCCTTTGCACGAGAACGAACATGTCCTAACGTGGCCTGACGTGCGTGGACAGGGTCTGGCGTGAGGCGCTGAGGAGGACAAGGCGTCGGTTGGGAGCAGCCCCCGTCAGAGCCACGCGACGCTGCTCAGGTTGGGCCAGAACGGGCGTCACATCGAGGAGCAGCTGGGGCGGAAGACGGGGACGCCGCCGGTGCTCTGCAGGGAGTTTATGGGGACGGCGCTCGAAGAGGTTAGCAGTCTGCAGACGGATCACCGCTTTAAGAAGGGCGAGACGGCGCCGGAGACCTCATGACCTCAGGGGTCATGAGGGTCCCGTGTGGCAAGTGGCCTGGGCCCACCCCATGTACGGCAATATCCTGGCATCCTGCTCCTACGACCGAAAAGTCATTATCTGGAAAGAAGAAAATGGCACCTGGGAAAAGACCCACGAGCACTCAGGACACGACTCCTCAGTGAACTCTGTGTGCTGGGCCCCCCACCACTACGGCCTGATCCTGGCCTGTGGGAGCTCGGATGGGGCCATCTCCCTGCTGACCTACACTGGGGAAGGCCAGTGGGAAGTGAAGAAGATCAACAACGCTCACGCTATTGGCTGCAATGCTGTCAGCTGGGCCCCTGCTGTTGTACCTGGAAGCCTCATAGACCAGCCGTCAGGACAGAAACCCAATTACATCAAGAAGTTTGCATCAGGTGGCTGTGACAACCTCATCAAGCTGTGGAAGGAGGAGCAAAAGCTGGAGGCGCACAGTGACTGGGTCCGAGACGTGGCCTGGGCCCCCTCCATTGGCCTGCCCACCAGCACCATCGCCAGCTGTTCCCAGGATGGTCATGTGTTCACTTCGACTTATGATGATGCCTCGGGCAACACGTGGTCCCCCAAACTGCTGCACAAGTTCAATGACGTCGTGTGGCACGTGAGCTGGTCCATCACGGCCAACATTCTGGCCGTCTCCGGCGGAGACAACAAGGTGACCCTGTGGAAAGAGTCGGTTGACGGGCACTGGGTGCCCATCAGTGATGTCTACAAGGGCCAGGGCTCCGTGTCAGCTTCAGCCACAGAAGGCCAGCAGAACGAGCAGTGACCAGATGGTTGGGCATGGCTCCCCCAACTGCCAGCTCCAGGACTGCCCCTTCCTGGGCCAACTGACCAAAGAACTGGGAAGAGCTCCCAACTCCAAGATTATTTTCCCAGCAGTGGTTACAAGTGTGACCACAGGTTGATCATCTGCCTTAACATGATTTGATATGGTTTGATACTGTCCAGCTGAAAGCACTCATGTTATGAAGAAACTACAAGTGATCTTCAAATCTATTATCTTAAATATTTTTGGCGCCGGAGAAGAAGCCCGCAGCGCAGACCACCACGCCCGCTGCAAGGAGATGAACTCGCCTCGTTCCCCCGAGTGGAGAGCGCCTACCTGGACAGCAGGAGCCGCGGCCAGCCCCGGCGTCTCCGCCGGCTCAGAACCGGAACTGAGCAGACCTCCCGCCACTGGCGCCAGAGCCGCGGTGCCCGGTCGCGAGGACGAGTGTGGAGCGTCCAGTGGGGATTTTAAGCACGAGAGGGGGGGCAGGTCCCGGAGCGTCTCTGAGAGAGCCGTGGCAGGACATGGAGCGCGGCGGCCCAGAGTGACCCTGACGCCACAGCACCGTCACAGCAGTGCCCGCCACGCGGGGATGCGCCCGTCAGGGCAGAAGCCACGTGGAGAGCGAAGGTCCTGGCGTGGGACGCCCGGGGCACCTGCGTGTTGGCTTTCTGGGGCCGACACACCTGGGGGAGAGTGCGGAGACAGTCGGCCACGGCAGCAGCGGGAACGCCCGGGAGCTTCCCCAGGGGCCGTCTCCACCACGGCTCCCTTCCCCTCCTCTCGCACGCGGGCGTCCACCTGTGTCCTGACCTGCCTCCCACTGACCCCTTTTGCCTCCCGACAGTAAATGTCTTCCAAGGCCCTTTCTCCAGGGGGTGGGGGACGTCACACAGGGACCTGGCTGCCAGCCCAGGGCCCTCGGCACTCAGGGGCGGGCCAGGCGGCCGGGTCCTCACTCGCAACTGTCTCCAGCTCGATGGAGCTCGTGTTGAGAAACAAAGTTCACGTTTTTTATTTTTAGCTTTTAATTCCATTTCTCCATGGAGTTTTTGAAGTCCCCTTGCAGGCAGCAGAAAGAAAACCCAGGGACAGGTCGCTGCCCCTTCCCTGGGTCCCAGGTCCCCACTGGCTGCTCCCTTCCTGCCCTTCATGCTTCCCACGTTTGTTTACAGTTGGCATCTGCAGTTTCCCTCGCCCTGAGGGGAGGAGCAGGGAAAAGTCCCTCTACTCCGCCTTCCCAGAGGCAACAAAACGGCAACATTTTTTTTTGAGACAGAGTCTCACTCTGTTGCCAGGCTAGAGTGCCGTGGCGTCAGCCTAGCTCACAGCAACCTCAAACTCCTGGGCTCAAGCAATCCTCCTGCCTCATCCTCAGGAGTAGCTGGGACTACAGGCATGCGCCACCACGCCCGGCTAATTTTTTCTATTTTTGCTAGAGACGGGTCTCGCTCTTGCTCAGGCTGGTCTGGAACTCCTGAGCTCAAATGATCCTCCCATCTCGGCCTCCCAGAGTGGTAGGATGACAGGCGTGAGCCACCGCGCCCGGCCAGCCAGGGCTTTTTGGTCAAATAAAAAAAAAAAACCTCGAACCCGTGTTTACCGCTACTTCAGTCATGTCCCAAGTGTGATAAAAACTTGCCAGTGCAGGTCCCAGGTGGAGGGCAGGTAGCCAGACAGTCAATAGAGCAGACGCGCGGTGACTGCCACCCCGTGCTGGGGACAGAGCCGTCACTGCAGCACCCATGTGGACGGCTCTCTCCAGAGGGGACACGTGCTGGGGAAGCCACTTGCTGTGTGGTTGGAGGTTCGCCTGGTTTAGTGCAGGGAGGGGAAGGCTGAGGTCACATGAGTAACTGGGAGACTCTTCTGAGATGTAAGAGCTGGCAGCAACTGCCACTTTCTAAAATGAACCACTGAGCATTTTACATGCTCTTCAAGAGGTGGTGCAAGTGTTTGCAAACAACGGAACTGAAAGATCAAAATCGTGCGTGGTTTACGCACGGCTCAGCTTCCACGCAGAGCGACCGGCAGCCTGCCTGATCTGGAGACGGGTAGGGACCGGGTTTCCAGCGCAGGAAGGGTCTGAGGAAGGGCTCACCCGGCCAGACCCCCCCACTTTTGAGATGAGGAAACCTGGTTCCAGAAGAGGCAGCTCTACCCCAGAGCCACAGGGCTGCCTCCCTGAGACAGCCTGCTCCCGGCCCACTCTCCCCACCGCCCGGCGGGTCCTCCTTGCTGGTGCAAGTCCGAGCTTGTAACACTCAGGGCCTGTGGTGGGTGCTCAGAATGGCACTGCCTCGGCAGTGGGCAAAGCAGCCCCAGACTAAAAGCCGTTTTGGGTCCGTCTAAGAAACCTTAAAGGCAAGCCTCCAAGGATAAAACTCTTCCCCAACAACTCAAATGTGTCCCAGAACAAAGCTCAGAAACTTTTAAAGAAATGCAGGCCAGGTGTGGAGGTTCACACCTGTAATCCCGGCATGCTGGGAGGCTGAGGCGGGAGGATCGCTTGAAGTCAGGAGTTCCAGGCCAGCTCGAGCAAGATCGAGACCCCATCGCTACGAAAAATGGAAAAATTAGCCGGGCCTGGCAGCGCATATCTGTAGTCCCAGCTACTGGGGAGGCTGAGGCAGGAAGATTGCTTGAGCCCAGGAGTCTGAGGTTGCTGTGAGCTAGGCTGATGCCACGGCACTCTAGCCCGGGTGACAGACTGAGACTGTGTCTTAGAAAAAACAAACAAAAATTCATCCCCCAACGACATATGAAATTCACCATGTCTGGCATCCAGTCAATAATTCCCAGGCACAGGAAGGAGCAGGGAAACAGGACTCGTCATGAGGAAGATAAAAACCAGTCCTTAGAAACAGACACAGATGTGACTCAGATGATGGAAATGGTAGACAAGGACATTGAAACAGCCGGGAAAAAATTAAAATCCACATGTCTGAGAAGGCAGAGGAAAACAGCAGCAGGTTAGGAGGCATGGAAAAGTTTTTTTGTTTTGTTTTGTTTTGTTTTTGAGACAGAGTCTCGCTTTGTTGCCCAGGCTAGAGTGAGTGCCGTGGCGTCAGCCTAGCTCACAGCAACCTCAAACTCCTGGGCTCAAGCGATCCTCCTGCCTCAGCCTCCCGAGTAGCTGGGACTACAGGCATGCGCCACCATGCCCGGCTAATTTTTTCTATGTATGTTAGTTGGCCAATTAATTTCTATTTATAGTAGAGACGGGGTCTCGCTCTTGCTCAGGCTGGTTTCGAACTCCTGACCTCCAGCAATCCGCCCGCCTCGCCCTCCCAGAGTGCTAGGATGACAGGCGTGAGCCACCGCGCCCGGCCTGGAAAAGTTTTAAAAGACCCGAATCGACGACCTTGATGAAGACTGCTCTGTGTCCAAGCGATGCTCGATTCTCTGTGCACCGTGGCCAGCCCCGTGCTTCAGCTGGGGGTCACACCGTCCTCTGAGACTCCTCAGAAGGGTCACTGTCAGCTCGGCAGAACACGACAGAGGCTTACCGATCTCCGCCGTGCACCCCACGTTCTCTGTGGGGGCACCGAGGGCCAGGAAGAGGCAAGGCCTTTACGAGGGTGTGTTAAAAAGACGAGGGCAGAGAAAAAACAGACCGGAGTCAGAGATTGACCAGAGAGCTCAGGAACGGACCGAGGTGGGAGCGGCTCTGATTTGTGATCGAGGCGGAGCACTGCTCAAGGCAGAGATGGTCTTTTCACCAGGTGGTGCCGAGTTACCTGGACATCCACAGGCACGGACAGATCCCGCTTCCTACCACGGACAGAAAGTAATCCTCCAATGGCGTGCGGACAAAAATGCGGAAGGTAAAACAGCCATCTTTTAGAAGAAACAGACCCTCAACTATATGGGTTTATAAATAAATATGGGCTCACATATAAGCAAAAAGTAAGTTTTGACAGAGGTGCCAAGACCACTCAGTGGGGAAAGCACAGTATTTTCATCAAACGGTGTTAGGAAAACGGGACATCCACATGCAAAGACGAAGCTCGACCCTTACCTTACACCACAGATGGAAATTAACCTAGGATGGATGGAAGACATAAACACAAGACCTACAACCATAAAGCTCTTAGAAGAAAACATAGGGCAAAAGCTTCACAAGATTTTAGGGGCGGGGATCGTTTCTTGAATATGGTACCAGAGCACAGGCAGCAAAAGTGAAAATAGATAAATTGAACTACAACAAAATTAAAAACGTTTGTGCATCAAAGAGCATAATCGACAGAGTGAAAGGAAACTGAAGGGATGGGAAAGAATATTTGCAAATCATGTATCTAATAAGGGGCTAACATCCAGAGTGTATAAAGAATTCCTACAACTCAACAGTAAAACAACAACAACAACAAAAAAAACCCTGATTTTAAAACAGGCAAAGGATTTGAACAGACATTTCTCCAAAGATACACAAACGCCAATAAGCACGTGAGAAGGCGCTCCACATCAGCAACCATCAGGGAAATTCCAATCAAACCACGTGGGACACCACCTCACACCCACCACCACGGCTACTATCAAAGAACTAGAAACGGCAGGTGTCGTCCAGGACGAGAAATTGAAACCTTGTACACTGCGGGCAGAAATGTGAAACAGTGTAGCCACTACGGGAAACAGTGTGAGGGCCCCTCAAAATACTGAGCGTAGAACTGCCACGTGACTCAGCAACTCCGCTTCTGGGAACGCATCCAAAAGAATCGAGAGCAGGGTCTTGAGGAGATATTTGAACACCTGTATTCACAGCAGCATCACTCACGGTGGCCTGGTGGAAGCAACCCAAGTGTCCGGATGGATACACAGGATGCCGTGCACACGTGAGATGGAATATTATTCAAGCTTAAAAAGGAAGAAAATCCTGACACATGGATGAACCTTGAGAACACTATGCAGAGTGAAATGGGTCAGTCGCAAAGAGACAAACACAGCACTATTCCACTTATATGAGGAGTCTGGAGCAGCCAATCTCACAGAGACAGAGAGTAGTGGTGGTTGCCAGGGGCTGGAGGGAAGGACGAAACAGGGAGTTGTTTATGGGTAGAGTTTCAGTTTTGCAAGATGAAAAGTTCTGGAGGTCGGTTGCATAATAATGTGAATATACTTAGTATCACTGAATTGTGCACTTATAAATGGTTAAGACGGTACGATTAGGCCTTGCGAGGTGGCTCACCCCTGTACTCCTAGCACTCTGGGAGGCTGAGGCAGGTGGATCGCTCAAGGT